TTTTCCAACAGTATCGCCACAAAGTGGAGCACCCCAGTTATGTAGTTCTACTCGTCGTGAAGCGGTGACTGGAGTGAACTACACAATACTAAACTAACTTAACCATAAATCAACTGTAAACCCATACTTTGTAGTTCAGATGATCAACTGTTTAAATCCCATATAGTTAACTTTACCATGATCAACTGTCCATACAAATCCCAATTTCTGTTGCTTAAATTCACCATGTTGGTGAAGTCCCCCCTGCCACTCCTCCTGGAGCACCAGTGCCCGCAGAGTTCGTTTCCTCCATCCGGCAGGATGGGTGCGAGGAATCACTTAAGGGTGATCAGTTTGATACGCAGAGGGGCAAACGGCCCTACAGTTCAAAAAAAAACACCTTCTACTACAGCCCTGAGTTCCTGAGTTGGAGTCGCCCAAGTGCCTCACCATTTTAGCTTGATTGGTTTCATCCATGTGATCTCCATGTTTGCCAGTCTTTCCTCCTTTTTGCAGGCTTGGATCTGTTCATTTGCAGGGGTGTCTCTGGATTCAGGATGACTTCGCTCATATTTTCATAGCGCGCAAAAAGATAGAAATGTATATATTTAAATGTGACAACGCGAACATCCTACTCAAATAGTGAATAAATCCCCCATTTATAGATGATTTTCCCCATGAAGCTCCATTTACTGAAGGTGATTTTCCAGCTGTTTGATCACCAAAGGGGTCCAAAGGGCAAATATGAAATCCCCGTCCCCATCATTAATCACCACAAAATCCATTAAACCCCATTAAATCACATTCATTAACCACCACCAAATCCCATTAAAACTCTATTAAACCCCATTAAATCACCGGAAAATCCCATTCAGTCGCCATTACTCACTAGAATTCCATGAAGATCCTATTCAATTTCATGACATTCCCACCTTTGCACTCTCCATCCCTCGCCTCGCCGCCGCTCTGCTGCCACTGCGAGCGAAAAAAAAACGCCCGGGCCCTGGGCCCGGCCGGCGCTCAGGGGTACAGCTGCGCCTTGAATGGGGTCAGCTGATTTCAAGGTGGCACCAAAAGACTAGAAAGATTCCAGATTTCCCACATAGTGGATTTTACCAATGGAAACTGGATATAGGATGACTTGGATATGAGTACTTGGATGTAGGATCTAGAAATGTAAGGCAAATCATGAAAAACTCCTTGACTTAAAAAGGACATTGTCTAGAATTATGACAATTGTGTATTTTAACATTTTTTTTTACAACGTTGCCGTGTTTGCCATGTTGACCAGGTTCGCTTACCTGCGTCGACCTAGATCTCTCGCAAAGTAGGATGTTCACAATGTAGCAGCGCAGGGATCACAAAAAGACACTGATGATATCTGATGATCACTGATCCTGTGAACTTGAACGCAGGACATGTACGCGAAACTTGGAGCCCTGCTCTCACGAGGACGTGCTAGCGCACAGTGCGTGCTCAGTGAGAAGAATGATGAACCAGCGGTAAAGAACAGGGAATGGATAGGCACACGGCCCAAAATATCTTACCATGGGTCTCAAACAGTACTCAATGGTTGGAGGTTTCCACCCATGCCCACTCCAAGAATGGTCTCACCCGTCCCCCAGGTAGAAATTGTCCAAAACTGAAACCCAAATCCAGCCACCAGCACTGGCTGTAATATTTCTTCATCATTTCCCACAGCTAAAAAACCTTCACCACCGATATCTTCCACCTGGGATATCTTGGGATCCTCTTTTTTTTCCACTCGCAACGCTTGGAACGCTCTGCTGTTCATCCCCTTGAAATCGGGAAACGTCGATGGCTCCGCATTGGCCGATGCTGAAGCCCCCGGTGGTGCAGTGATAGAGAGGTGATAATGACCCCATCATGAAATTGCCAACTCCCCGCCCGAACCATGGTTTTTTGTGTCAGTCAAGTGCGCTTAACTATGCTAAACTTAAATATTCCACGTGGATATTTACCTCTTGAATCGTTCAGGCAACTCATAACTCAAATATGAACACGAGCTGGTTCATGTTGTGATATACCACCAAGCCCAGAAAACTGATGCTGAGACCCGTGGAAACTTTAGCCCTTTAAATCTATCCAGTTCGGTTAAAGCCTTCGAAGTAAAAATAACGGTTTCCCAAAAAGAAACATGGGTTTATCATCATTTGGAGATATTTGGAGATTTCCTAACATGGGGAACATGGGGGTACCCCCTAATCATCCATTCAAAACCATCCAGCTATTGGGGCACCCCCATTTATCGAAAACTTCTCAGGCACAGCCACTTGGCAAACATTGACCATTCAGACAGCAACCTGACAGTTCAAGTTGTGACCATTTTAGGGTTTAGTAGGTGACCATTTCAATGGTTAATCTTGTACTATTTTAAGGTTTAGTAAGATTCATAAGTGACCATTAAGTGACCATTTCAATGGTTTTGTGTGTTTTTTGCGACCTCAAACGAAGGGATAAAGAGGAAACTTTTGACTCCTCTGGAAGAAGGTATACAATTCCGGAGATTCTCTAAGCGCATCTCTTTCAACCGGTTGTGCCGCGTCATTCGTGACGCGCCACGGCGGACCATGGAAGAGTCGAATTTGGATCCGCAGCTGTCCATGGGCCACCCAAGACAATAAATGTGGATTGTTTTTTTCATGTTTTTTTCATCTTATAATCAATGGATTGGCTTAAGGGAATACCTATGAACATCTACAGGAAACCATAGTTGTTCCTATGAAACATGAGGGTTTCCATCCATTTCCTAAACAAGTTCCCTTAAAACATCTTAAACCAATCCGATGATATAAGATGATACGAGTAAGGGAAAATTTACAGGAAACCCCCCATATTTAATGGGAAAATCTATGGTTTCCGGTTAAGATTTTCCCTTAAACCAATCCATTGAACTATGGGTGAAATCCCCTAGATCATATGGATACAACCAAACCACTAGACCTGTAGCTTTGGGGACACAAAACCGTGCACGCCGCGCGGTTTCCAACGGCAGAAGGATTGGAATCAGGTTTTGGCAGCAGCGTCACGTTGTGAAACCAGGCAAGGCGTCGGACGATCTTAGCGCAGGAGGCTTCATGCAGACATTTTTGTGACAGGCAACTCCCAAAAAAAGGAAGGCCCTAAGGGCTAAAGAACTGCTGTCCAGTTCAACCCTCCTGATTTTTTGTGGGGGTGTCATACATACCACCTGGTTATTTAACATAGCCATGGAAAATCCCTTATAATGGAGGTATTAATGGGAAAATCATCTATAAATGGACCATTTTCCATGGCTATATTAGATAACCAGAGGGTACCAAATATCATCGACAAAAAAACATGTTTGAAACCACCAATACTCAGGATTCCCATGATCTCCTTGGCTAAAACAGAATGGGTAATGGCCGGCGAGGAAGCACATGACTGTCAAGAAAAAAAAGGTCTTGGAAGCGATTAGTCATGATGTAGTTAAATGGCTGTTGCATATCACGTGCTCAACACTATCCTCCGGAAAAAAATATAAACATACCTATGAAGAACGTTGTCCATTTACAGATCATTTGCCTACAAGAATATGACCGTTTTCAACAGCAGTGTTCAACTACCAGAAGGCAATCCCGCTTTCACAAGCTCAGTAAGTGCCTCGTTATTCCCCAGAGTACCTCGATTCCTCCTCCTTTTTTTGGCCCAGAGTTGCTGTTGAAGGCTTTCTTCAAAAAATCACCAGTCTCAACCACTATTAACCATTAATAACCGTTCATAACCATCATCAACCACTATTAACTGACCATTATTCACCATGATTAATTATTGTAACCATTACATAGTACTGGTTCACCCCCCTTTACAGCGACAAAATCGACTCGCACCTCGCACTAGGGGCCCAGCGACCAGCTGTAGCCATCCAGAGCAACACAATGCGACTCATCCCGTGTAGGTTTCATATTCTCATCATTTTGGGGAGTTGCTATATATATATATAATGTATATGAGTCGGGTGTTTCTCAAAATTGGGGCGCCCCAGAACCATTGGTTTCCGACCTTAAAAATGACCAATGTTGGATGATTTTGGGGTCCCGTGACCAGATTGTCCCACACATACAACTGACATAACTTCTTGCAAAATTAAATTCAGGATCCCCATCAACTTTCATCAGCATGGCAAGGAACACTTCCCCCCACAACAGATTTTACTTGGTCCCCTTGCCCCGTCTTGAAGTTTTGATGATTTCTTTCCATGGTGGGTTACCGAAGATCTACCAAAGTGTAGTAGTGTAGGTCCTACGTCACCCCTTGCCATAGAATGATATGAATGATGCGCTTCTGAGTTTCACCACGCGCAGACTGAGTATCGCTTTGGATGATTCTGGCCATGCCCCGGAAGCTCCGCAGTTTTGCGGCCAGGCGTTGATCGGCTGATCCCGACGATACCTGCATTCCTCTGCATGTGTACAGTGGAGGCTTGAGGGGAATCAAATTTAATAAATCAGGTAACCATAGGTAACCCCTGATGAAACTGATGTTGTATGATATTGTCCAATGATCTGCGTTGATTGCTGACATTTGCTGACTGTATTGTCTTGCAGTGGCCACCGAAACGCGCCGAGGCCGATCTGAATTTCATCCTCTGGGTGCCCGCAGTGTTCCGCCCGGAGGTCTTCAAGGGAATCAATCCTGTGGTCAAATTATCGCTGAATATCACCGGCATGGCAGTGAGATCAAGCAGGTACCTACTTCCATCTAGCTACATATTTTGTAAACATTTCTGAGCATAAGCACCTCGGGAACTATCTCTCTCGCCCTATCTCTCTCGCCCTATCTCTCTCGCTCGCTCGCTCTCTCTCTCTTTCTCTCTCTCTCTCTCTCTCTCTCTCTCCCTCCCTCCCTCCCTCCCTCTTTCACAATATTGATCCAGATTATCTAATCACCTGGTCCAAATGTATATCTATCATATAATTCGCAATGTATAACTTAGGGTCTTACTCTGAAAAGAAATGGCCTGGCCATAAAATGAATATCGTGTATCGCATAACTTGACCATAAATAATTAATTAGGCATCTTCAGCTGGGCTTGTTGAAGACATGCCCGCTGATCACTCTAAACCTCGTGCGAGCGGTGGACATTGACGTGGCGAGCTCACTGCAACACGGGGATTTTCGTCCAATCAACAAAGATGGTACCCTCCAGTAAACTAACATAGCTATGGAAAATTAGCCGTTTATAGATGATTTGCCCATTAAACGTGGTCATTGTCAATAGCTATGTTCAATTACCAGAGGGTAACCTAAACCTACAATATCCTCCCCACCTACCTTTGGAACCAAAGCCACCTCCCACCAAAAAAACCCATGCCTCGGCTCAGGTGCTTTGCCAGTGCACTTCACGCCCTTCTCCCTGCTCAGCTCAGACCCAGACATGGAAATTAGTTCTTTGTTAACCCCCATCAATATCTTCTGATTTGCTGATTGAACCCGTTTCGCATCATTACTTTTGGCAATGCTATTTTTCACCATGTCTGGGATTGATTTTCAAATTTGTCTGAATTATATACTGTTTTGTGTTTACATTATCGTCACTTGTTCATACTTGTTCAGCGTTGTCAGCATATGATTAAAAGCAGTGTCCCCGTGTTGAACCTATTGTTGCTGCAATGGTCCCAATATCATTAAATATCAATTGTGACTATGTTAATCCCTTCCCCTAATAGTAATACTGGAAATCCTGATTAAGTAATGAGATCTATATGGGGTATCTTCCATTGCTATGTTTGATTACCAGAGGGCAACCCATCCAGTAATATCCTAGGATCATCCCATTATTATTACCATAAAACAATCTAAATCATATTGAACTATCATTCATAGTTCACAACTATCATTTCAGAAGTTTGAATATCCTTAAACACAAAATCCAGATTTGGGCCTCCTAAAGACATACGTGTAGGTGAATATACCATCTTCAACAAAAACAAATATCGAAACCAAAAAAAACATCTGAAGGATTATAAATTATATCCGTGCCCAAATCAACAATTTGAAGATTGATATATCTGATATATCTTTAAAAAAAATCAGTTCCACCTCGAGCTGTGCCTCTTTGGTCTCCTCCTCATCCGAGCATGGCGTGGGAATCTCTTCGCAGAGGCTCATGAAGCGCTCGCGTGCCTGCGCTGGGCCAGGGGCCCCTAAATGGGTGGGCTGAAACCCCGGCAAGACAAGGTTAGAACATGTTAGAACAAAGGGACAATCAGTGATTGACAAAAAACCTAACAACACCTCCAATGATAGATGTTAGATGACTCTACTAAGTTGTCACTATGTGTTAGTAGGATTTTACCATATTTTACCACGCTTTATCTTTTTGGCATTGCGAGAAAACTATTTCCAATCACTTGAACCCTGAGATTATTTTGGTGAAGATCTTCATGGTGTTTGGGTGGGTACCCATGGCATAAACATCCATAATTACCCAATAAAGGGGTTCTTTGTTGTGCCTATTTCAGCATGTAATGATCCAACTTTTGAGGTCAAAGCGACCCCCAAGTCGCTGAAGATTGCACGGCCAAATGCTTAGTTCTTTGATTGATTTTACGTGCATTTAGCACAGTTTAAGGGTCTGCAATGGGGAAATGAAAAATGATTTACCAAATATGGAGCACATGTGCTGTGCATCTCTTTCCAACTACAGTACGCCCATGAAATGCAACATCACTGCCAAGAAATGGCTCCGCTAGACAAACCATCGAAGGCCCACTTTTCGGATTCAAAGTTGCCTCTGAGCTGTCTTCTACCCGCTCCATGAACCATAGGTGAATAACGTTGCAAACCAATGCTAAACAAGTACATCGAGGTGTTTACCTATGGCAATTCAGTCGAATGGGCTGTGCAGATTGGACCACTGGTTTGACAACTAGCATTGTCACCATTTCACTATGGGCCTTTCCTAAGTTCCCTCTGGGCAACTAGCCTGAGGATGTCGCCCTTACATCCCTGTCATCGTTGCTAAATTCCCAATTCCCATTGATGTCAATTGATGTCAATCTTTTATTCCTGAACAAATCGCCCCCGAAAAGTCGGGAAAACAACAACCCCAACTCAAGATTGTTTTACCAGCAATGGCTGCCAGCTCAGCCAGCTCAGCCACCTCCAAATAGTGCTGCCATGCTTTCAACTCATCAACTTTTGCTTTCATAGCCACTGAGGCCTGGATTCTTTGAACAGACTGTATCTGAAACCACCAGCCGGACAAGCTTGAATTCGAAAATCAATGGTGAAGCTAAGACAACTTACAAAGCTATAAGGATTAATTTTAAAAACTTGGATAAGAAGCCCTCACTTGGCTGAACTAACAACACCGCCTGAGAATCATGGCTCGTCCTTGACATCTTGCAATCAAGTCATCAAAAGTCCCCCTCGTAGAACGCGTCGTGGCTTGGCAGTGGGTCTGTTCATTTTTGGGTCCAATATTGCCGGAGAATTCAATATTGTGGGAAGGGATGATTGGAAGCGGGATGCCAAATATTCGTCAATATTCGTCAATTTATCATGGCAAATCTTAGATATCCTATCAATCCCTACCACAGAAAAAATGGATCAAACAAAAGAAATGCCAATGTGGCAAATGATGCAAAATGTGTGAACCGAATATAATGTAGTGAAATAGTGAACATTTTGCTGAATTGTGGCTACAATGAGTCTGTGAAACTGAGTATTCTCTAAATTTTGATGACCAATATTGAAAATGACCCTGTGAGTCTGCGGTCCTTGTGCCCAATAGGAGCAACCCAAAAAATCGATGCTAATGTTTTACCACCATATTTCAGTAGGATTTTAGTAGGATTTCATCAACCTCGCCTTTTTTGGAGGTCAGAGTTCCCATAAACAAAATCCCTCCCCATGACCAGCGCCTGCTCGTGCGCGCCTGTCTTCCGGCTCTGCACCACTTGCCGCGACACCAAATTCACGGCCAGCTTGGGAGATGCCTGCAGCACCATGGCACCATGGCACCATGGCCGCCAAAAAATAGGGAGATCCAATACAAAACCCAAGCAAAATCTGAGGTTAGTCTGGGGGAGTGCTTGTAAATACCTGAAGACATTGTGCAGATGGTAACTGGGTCATGACATGTCATGTCCCACTGCAACTGGGACCAGAGATTGGAGATAATTATGCCGCAACTAGTCCTGAAAAGATTGGACTTTCCAGTGTGCCATGGCCAAAACATGGTGCATACGTGATCCCACCACCATTAAAGGTTCCTTACGATGGAGGATGACACCACCCTCCTATGGAAACACAAACTTGGGATGATGGGATATGAATCATAACACACCCCAATCTTGGTGACCTCAGGGCTTTAGGATTTAGAAGATGTCTTTTAAAAGCAGTAATTCCAAGCCCAAGATAGATAGATAGATAGATTAGATTAGATTAGATTAGATTAGATTAGATTAGATTAGATTAGATTAGATTAGATAGATCGATGGATAGATAGATAGATAGACAGACAGACAGACAGATAGATATGATACATAATATATATATATATATACACCATAAATCATAAATATATATATGTATATGTGTGTTTCCCCACCTTGGGTGATTCTCAATTTCTCCAAAAACGCTAAAGTCTTAACATGTCCAGCCCAGCACTCAGCCAGATCGCCTCGGGGTCTGGACCTGCCGTGCCTCAGAACACCACTTGGTTCAAATCCGAGACACCTCGCTCAAAATCACCGGGGTACTGATATGTAATTAATATTTCAGTATGATTACATATGAATATATATTTCAGGTCAAATTTTTTAGATTAATCACCTGGGTAGTGATATGTATATTTTGTACATTTGACCTTGTCACTAAATAGGCACACAACTCCACGAATTTAAACTACCAGCCCCGGTTCCTACATTTAGAAGATATTCTGGATACCAGCAAGAAATACTATCTGGTTGGTGGTTCCCACGCCTCTGAAAAATATTAGTCAGTTGGGATTTATTATTCCCAATATATTTATGGAAAAAACATGTTCCAAACCACTAACCAGCTATTATTGTTTGTTTCATTAACTCACCTGCAAACTTCGGCTATTTGGAGATAGTTACCCAATCCTAAGCATCACTCGGCGTCGCTTTGAAAGGTTGTGATCAGATTTCTCTGTATAAAATGCGCTGTGCCTCACTATGTTCCATATTATGATCTCATCAAATGGTGACTAACATCACCATTCTATCCGCGTTTCATCCCCATCTAATACATCCGGATGATCTGTGTTGATCTGCATTTTCTCTTGTCAGGCATTCAGTCGCAAACAATCGCAACTCAAAAGAACGCTTGCGCTTGGCATGGTCTCATACTTAGATGGGCCATGGAGTTAGTTAACTAGTTAGTAAATGGATTATAATTGGGATATAGGGGGTTATATCCCCAGTTACTAACCATTTAGCTAATCCCATGGCCTATCTAAGTACTATCCTTGTTGCGCTGCCCCGAGCATCCACCAGTTTTGGCACCAAGCTGCGGTGCCCCGGAACAGCGCAGCTGGGTTTCACCCGTGGGCTCTCCGCTTCTGGCGCCGCTGGCGCTGGCTTGGGTGGAAACTCGGCCTCGACACGACACGGCGAGATCCGATGGAGTTCAAGGGGGAACATCCCGTATACCATAGGATATAATAATATATATATACCCAGATAAATATACCTATGCATGCTATATAGAATAGGAAATTAATGGACATTATCTATATCTACTATACAATACTAATCAATACTATATACATGTATAAATTATGAATTATATTACAGGGTACATCTCATTTTTCCCACGCACCTTACTTTCCGGCCTGTCCAAAGGTCAGGGAATCAACTACGCAGAGGCGACGGGACTATAGGATCAATACTATTGCATAACATGAAAGAAAGGCAATATTAATTTCATAGTATAGTAATATCCTACAGTAGTGCTATGGATAATATTTACGATATCATGCTGGAAATGCTGCAAGAAACCATGTGTCTGCTGTTACTCCCAGATCTTGGGGTTTCATCTGCATTCTCCAAGATTCAGCCTTGTGAAAGAAAAGCTGACATATTATTAATGCATATTCCCCACCTGCCAGGTGAGGGTTGTTAGATTTTATCAGAGCTGTTCTCCTCCTCCTCCGCATCCTCCTCCTCCATCTCCTCCGCCTCCTCCTCCTCGCAGTCCAGATCCCAGTGGGCACAGCCGGACCTCCACCGCGAGCGCCAGATCCCAGTGGGCACTGCCGGACCTCCACCGCGAGCTCCAGATCCCAGTGGTCACTGCCGGACCTCAACCGCGACTTCCAGATCGCAGTGGGCACTGCCGGACCTCAACCGCGACTTCCAGATCGCAGTGGGCACTGCCGGACCTCAACGGGAAGAAAAGATGTCAGATAGAATGTCAGAAGATATGCCAGATAGAATGCCAGAAAGAATGTCAGAAAGAATGTCAGAACATATGCCAGACAGAATGTCAGAAGATATGCCAGAAAGAATGTCAGAAGATATGCCAGATAGAATGTCAGAAGATATGCCAGATAGAATGCCAGAAAAAATGTCAGAAGATATGCCAGATAAATGTCAGATAGAATGCCAGAAGATATGCCAGATAGAATGCCAGAAGATTTGCCAGATAGAATGCCAGAAGATATGCCAGATAGAATGCCAGAAGATATGTCAGATAGAATGCCAGAAGATTTGCCAGATAGAGTGCCAGAAGATATGCCAGAAGATATGCCAAAACATATGCCAGAAGATATGCCAGAAGATATGTCAGATAGAATGCCAGAAGATTTGCCAGTAAGAAAATGTATCATTGTCATGGTGGGGATCATTCGAAGTGAAGTAATTATGTTTTTTCAAATATGATTTGGCATGATTTGGTGGGTATGTTAAGTAATTACTGGCTGTTCTTCCAGCATAGCCTGAACACATGGCGCAATGAATGATTATGTGAATAATCAAAGACAAACGAAAAAACGGCACGCTGTGATATGGGTGTGTCTGAACATGGGGGATGCCGTAAATCGATGTAAATCGCTATTTCGATGGTGCACATGATAATATCTGACAAACTGGTAAACCATAATAAGCCATAGTTTTTTGGGTGCCTCATTTCCAGACAACCCCAGTCACCTCACCATTCAACATTTATCAATCGTCATGGCGAGATCGTTTGACCGGTCGCTGTAATTCCCCGAGCCTTCTCTTCAGGCTGCTTTCGATTACTTCTTCGCCCAGGATTGCCTCAGTTTTTGGATGTCAATCGCTTGCTACTGCTGATGGGTTACCGTTAACAAACAACAAGTATGCTACTGGTAAGCCTAATAATAAACCATTCCCAATGTTGGTCTATTATTGGGGTTTACCACATTGTACTGCTGGATGAATTACTCTTAACCAACCAGTAAAATGGAATGGGTTGTATTCTCAATGACACAAGTGGTTTTGAGGGTGCGTTGGACGGTTCAGCCTCCGTTTATCTCCATCATATCGGGGGATACATCTTAGACTCTTAGACTAAGACTATACTCTTTTTTGGAGTTAGGTTCTGTATTGATGAGCAGCAACAAGTGGTCAATGGCCATGAGGAATGTAAGTTTTTTCAACTAACAAGAAGGATAGTCTTCACTCCGCAATCCAACCTGGCAAAGAACATCACCAGTTTCATCTATCAATAAGCCATTGTCCGTTGATAACTACGCTCAATTCCGGAATTTGATGCAGCTTCACGGGCGATGGATGGAAAAAAACAAATGTCACTTTATGAATGCTATAGACACCTGACTAGCCGCCAATGTAGGGTTAATCTGTTACTCATCTTGCGTGTTGCAAATTTACAGTCGGTCTATTTAATTTTGGGTGCTGGACATCCAGTTTTGGTATGTTTTGATCCATATCCTGTTCGGTAGACCAACAAACATGGCAAGTGGAAAATGCATGAACATGCCTTATTTGTAGAGACAGCTCGAACATTCAGTTGCCGGTTCAATTTCTGTGTGCAATCAGTCATTTAATAACTCGTATGATACTGCATTACGACTAGAATTAATGATGTATGCACACGTGGTTTTTGCGCAAACATGTCATCAAACTGCCAGTATCACAGCCACTGACTGTCCAGCAACTGAGGACGTTCCTCACGGTGTTTGCGGCAAAGGCCGCGCCCGCCGCTGACGTCGGTCGCGGGGGCCGAAGAGCAGGCGGAGGGAGAGGTTGAAGCTGTTGAGGCAGCAGCGCATCTGGCGAGTGACGCGATCTGGTTGGTGCTTGGGCCGCCCAAAAGAATATCCTAAACTTGGGGTTCATCATGGTTCTTCACTTGGGGTTGAAATCTAAAGACCTTTGAAACCAGCAGCACAGAAATCGGGCTGGATGCCTTTGCACTGAAGGTGGCTTCACCACTGCTTAGGTATTCAGGCAAGCACAACTCTGGGGTTGTTCACGTCTGCAGGGGCACATGCTACGAAAAAACTATAAACAACTGCTTGGCACTTCCGCCCTAGCTTCAAAAATGGCTATGTTCAATTTGCAATTTTCATCTTCACAACGATAGAAAGCACAAGAACTCCGAAATCACAGGCCAGGAATTTTCCGGGAACCCCTGGAAGTGTCCCGCACAGCCAGCCTTGGATGCCCTGACCCAAGGAAAGGTGACCGATATGTCCTGGCAAATCTGAAGTTGCAAATCTGAAGCTGAATCTACAGGCTTGGCCCAAAGCAGAAATTCCAGTAATACGATGCAATATGCCCCTGGAAACTTCAAACGCTGCATGCATCTTCGGAAATTCAACATGGACCTAGTTGAAAGCCAGCAACGCTCCACAAAACATCACAACTTCGAGTCTTGGAGTTTCTGGAGGGGTTGATCAACGGTTGAGCCGCTTCAAGATGTGCCAAGCGTCTATTAAACAACCGCACTTTCGTGGAGTCCAAGTCGGGTGAGGAGGTCCTGGCAGGGGTGGCAGTGGTGAATGGTAGTGAATGGTGGTGAATGCACATCGGGGTCCAGGGGTCTTTAAGCTTGGAACTTAATTATGTATATATATATACATAATATATATATATATATGTGTGTATATAATTATATATATATAAAGATTAATTAGTTTGCAGAGCTGGCCGACCTACCCAGAAACCAAATCCCCGATGTTTATACAATACTAAGACCTCTCACTTGGTGTCGGAACTGCAATTAGTTTCATGTTGTTTTTCCGCTCAGAGGAGGAAAAAAACTACAAGTTTGAATGCTGTGAATAAGTTGAAACCAGCCATGGGCTTATCTGTATTCTCAACGGCATCATCAGGGAGGTTGCTGAGAATCTAGAAGATAGCGAACTTGGGAATCGCTTCAGGGGGTTCCAACGTTGAAAAACACATCCAGTTGGAAACAACATGTTCAGGAGACGCTAGAAGTGGACTCCGTTTGAGATCCTTTAAGATCCTTTGAGACCGCCATGCGTCCATGGGCAACGTCGCCATGTGAAAGTTGGGTTTGGACCAAGTCTCAGCTGCAATTTTTCAAACCAACAATTTTTTGGTCCTGGTCAATATCCGTCACTTGGTGTGATCTTCCCAGTTCCAGCCTTGAAAATCCATCAGCTTTGAACCCCCAACCAGATTCTGACCCTCCAAATGTGTCAACCTGTTCCGCGTTCCAAGCGTCCCCGGCAGCGGTGGTGGAGGCGGAATCCAATCACTGGATTCAGATTCACCTCGACCATGGAAACACCCTCCCAGAAACCATTGTTTAGTCTAGGGATGAAACCACATATACTAATATTAATACATATATATATATATATGTATACATACACATATTTTATAAATATATGTGGAACCATTGAGGTGGTGGTGAATACTTGGATGGGATTCGAATATTGCCAGCCCAGAGGATTGATGAGGACTCTAGGAAGTTCCAAGGGACAGGTGCCCAAGACCAAGGGATGGAACTTGAGGCATCAAAAACACAAAGAACTTGAGAGTGGATGGTGCAGCAATGTGCGGCACCTCTGCTGCAAAGATCTATAAACATCTATATATAGTAGACTAAGGCATCCTGGTTTTCACTGGTGTTTTTGCAGCTGTGTCATCTTCCAGCTGGCAGAACTCTGCCATGCCAGAAGCTGGTGGTTCCCTTCCCAGATTAAAAAAAACAACAACTCTGCTGATACTGGCGGGCCACCCAAACAGTGAGACTTGGCCATCAGAATGGAACAACCCAGCAGTCTATTTCTCCAGGGTAGATATTGGGTTCATCGTTTAATTTTAGCCTAAGTATGAATACACGCAGAGAAATATTTCTTTCTGTTGGAAAGATAAAGTCTTTGCAGTCAATCAAACTTGGCGCAACCATGTTTTGTCATGTAAACCTACAAGGTTAGAGCATGCAGTGATAACTTGATAGCTGCTCTTTGAATTCCTGTGGTTTTTTCTTTTCGGAAGCCGTGACATGGCCAAATGACTAACCCCAAACCAAGCCGTTCACCCAGGAAAGGCAATCCAAATGTCCGGGCGAAAAGACCACAGTCGTCACTAATTTTCAAAGTGAGACGCATGGTTTTAACACATTAACAGCTGGTCGGTGGTATACCTACCCCTCTGAAGGGTATGAGTTCGTCAGTTGGGATTGTGACATTCCCAACATATGGAAAATCATAAAATTCATGTTCCAAACCACCAACCAGACAACATAATCATCATATTGCCTCTGAAAAAATATTAAAATGCCATAAATAATCCATATATAACTATATATCCATATAGGTTATATTAGCCACCAACCAGACAACCATTTCAAGATGCGCAGGAAGGAAACTGTAAAAACTCCAAGATGCACCCGTCCTTCGGAACCTTCGTGACATTTTGATGTCCAGTGACTAATGCCCGTCTCGGGCGTATCGCTCTTTTCCAGCCGTGGTCTCTTTGGGATTTGCTCCAACCAGCTGTCCGGTTCCTGCTTGGTGTGCACCTCGTTTAGAGCACCTGGCAGGTGGATGGGGTTGTGGTGGACTTAACTACTGAATTGGAATGAATTGGATGGGTTTCCTGGTGGTCGGATATAACCAATTTCTCAGAGGTACCAGTTTGTTCCAGCACCATGAGAAATTTGATATTTCTATGATCAGATCTTCAACAAGTGGAATACATGCGTATAGGTATGTCGTACCTAGATATTTATGCATTTATACATATACATAAATAAATAAATATATATATATGTACAAACATACTTTTTAATATTTATATAAACACATATATATATATACATATTTATACTCACATATATATATATATAGATGTTCACATTTATATGTTTATATTTTTATATATTTATATTTTTTCTATATAGATATCTATATATATAGATATCCAGATATCTATCCATGTATGTCTATATTTATGTCTATAGTTATTTTGCAATTTACCTATAATATATATATAATATGTGTGTGTGTGTGTCTCCATCACCCTCTTCAGGAGTTCAGCATCTTATTGTTAATAAATTATGTAAATAGATGTCATAATATTGGCCTTTATATATGCACATATATGCAATTATGCTAGATATACTAAGTGTGTGTGTGTGCTTGTCCAGTCAACTGCGGCAGCATTTCCCCAATCAGTGTTGGCACCTCCGGGCATATCGAATTGTAAGAGGAAGAAAGGAAGGTGCACTTTGCAGTGATGAATGCAGAAGCCTCGATTGCATACTCTCCTGGCTTAGCCAACGATGCAATGAATGGAGTTGATGATGAACATCACAAAGATACCGGGGGTTCCCTAAAAAACGGGTACCCCAAAATTGTCACCAAATTGGACTGAACTGATTCTTACCCCTATTGGTTGGTGAATATAATGCCACCATAACCAGCACTTAAATAGGATATTCAACCCCCTTGTAATATATAAAGAACGCCTTGATTTCTCCATATCCGACATCAAGAAGTCGCTGTATATACATATCATAGTTGTATGACAAGGTCATATACCCAAACATAAACCACAATTGCCCAACTTGACTATGTGGGGTGATGCGTCAAACCACCTGAACTTGTACGGGTAAAGGTCAAATGATTGAATTCATGCCGGCTCTACTAAAATGGCCAGCCCATGTTGCATCTACAGCCACTCCCACAACAATAAACTATGCATCCCCAAAAAAGTATCATTAATCATAAATGCCTATGCATATATATATAATATATTTAAGTAATACATATATATATATATGTATATATAAAAAGACATAAATATAATAATAATAATACATACTATATATATATATATATAAATAATATTGATATCGCACACTGATCATCACAAAGGTGTGGGCCCTCCCAAGATTTTTCAAACCCATCAAGTAGAGTAATAATTGCCATAACCCCCAAACTCTTCGAGTGAACTATGTAAACCAACTTAGCAATCATAAATTAGGTATTAATCAGCTATCCTGAGTTTTCATAGCTAAATCCCAATTTTTGTTGGTAAAATCTGGTAAAATCCCGATTTTTGCCAGTGAAATTCACCTGGAGGGGTCCTCCACCCGCGCTATCCCTGGGCTCCTGTCACATCGGAGGCACACGCTGAGCCTCTGCTGCAGTGCATCGGCGATGTCACTGGCGTGCTCCACCGCATTGCGCTCCAGCCCTTGGTTTTTGATGAGGCCAACTTGAGGTTGCACACACACATGTATATATATATATATATATATGTATATAATATACGCATACACGCATATTATGTATGTGTATGTGTGTGTGCACAAATGTTTACATACATATACATGTATTTATTTATATATATATATATATATGTATATATATGTAAGTAAGTAAGTAAGTAAGTAAGTATGTATGTATGTATGTATGTTATGTTATGTTATGTTATGTTATGTTATGTAAGTATGTAATGTAATGTAATGTAATGTAATGTAATGGTATGGTATGGTATGGTATGGTATGGTATGGTATGGTATGGTATGGTATGAATCTATGTATGTATGTATGTACGTACGTACGTACGTACGTACGTATATATGTATGTATGTATATATAATGCAATGGGGTAAATATGCAAACACGCGCATGTGTGTGTATACATGATGTGGGTGGTCCTTAGCCATGTGTACTATGTATCGCTATTGTAGCTGAGATAAGCCGTGTGGAGAATCCTCCGCTCAGGGTGAAATCATCACGTGGCGTAATTCACCTTTAGAAAATCCAATCCAAAAACTCTGGTCAATGGGGATTATATGGGATCACCTTTCAAACTAAAGACACTATAGATGGATGCAATGGATGGATGGATGGATGGATGGATGGTTGGTTAGCTGGTTAGTTGGCTAGTTGGCTAGTTGGCTAGTTAGCTAGTTAGTTAGTTAGTTAGTTAGTTGGTTAGTTAGTCAGTCAGTCAGTTAGTTTGCTAGTTAGTTAGTTAGTTAGTTAGTTCGTTGCATAGGTCATCTCACACAGTGGTTGAAATCATTGAATTCAAAGAGGCTGGCTCAAAACAACCAAGGGGCGCAGCCACAGAGGGGTGCAGGCAGCTTTCCTGCTCTCAGAATGCAGTTGGCCATGTGTGGCACCCCGCATGACTCATCAACCAATTGGCAAAGGAACCATCTGAAAAACGATGACTTGGATCTTGGAAGGTGCTCACCTTCTGTCTACCAGTACTAAGGGCTTGACTATGCTTGACTTCTAGGATTCTAGAATATGCATCTCTGAGAAGTGCCAAATATAGGGCAACTAGTTCACCAACCATTGGGTTTTGACAACTGTCAGGTGCTGCAAATCCTTCGTTGTGTTCAGGAACTTTCCCATCACGGTTTGTCTGAAACTGGGGTATAAATCCATCAACTGATTATCATGTTTCCCCAATAAAGTGCCATAAATAGCACTAATACATTTTTAGGCAACCCCTAACATTCATTGTATATGTTGGTTCTATTCTATACACCGTTACATCCTATTAAAATCATTAAATCCCATTCAGTACCAATCCACTACCCAATTCATAGACATCAAATATCGCCATCTGATAACACAAAGGTCAGAACTCATCTCCAGCCATTCCGAGCCCATATGGTCCTGGATCTTTCAGCTGCATGGATGATGACCACCGCACCATGGGCTTTGATGCGATTGTGGGAGAGATGCAGCTCTCCTTGGCACAACATCGCTCCGTTTCAGCTTGGAAGCCAAGATGTTCAGAGGAATTTTCATGAGGATGTGCTGTCAGGGCTGCACAAACATTCCTGTTTGAACAAGCCATGAATAAATAACTATATATATATATTTATATTATATTTATACACATGCAAATTGTAACACTTATAGTTAACCCCATTTATAACAGCAATTATCTGGTATATACTACATTATACTACTGGTATACCATGGTTTACACCCATTTATTACAACAGATTCTATAGAGTGTTACTACTCATTTTCCACCTCCGCCTTGCTGAACCCACCAAGCGTCGCAAGGCGGGGCTCCGTTCACAGAAGTCCGCTAAGAGATCGGCACCTGGTCTATGGCCATGGCACCAATGCCTGTGTCTCCTAAATTTTGCGGTAATTATTTACATTGCACATTCAATTGACGTTCATGTTCATAGCGTTTTTGTAACAAGCTGGGGGGTAGCCCCGAAATTTGCAATGTTCAATTGGAAAAAAACTGATGAACCGTGAAACTTGTGGGCACATGTGGGCACCCTGTCATATTCGGACAGATCCTGCTGTAAAAGTTACCGCTGGAAGATTTGCAAAGGACCATGCCAAGAAGCACAAGGGGCACTGCTTGATCTAAATACCTACCTTTCGCGCCTGCATCACCGATATCGTTCTTGTACAGTTTCAGGACTTCAAGTCCTTCCAAGAATGAGAATGGGACCATTGCATGCATGGTTCGCACGTTTTTTCTTCAGGAAACAGTAACACCTGAAATCAAGACTCTGGGCCCCGGTGCGGAGGTCCTGAGAATTGCAAACCTTGGGAGAAAGAAGCTGCTGGAGATCAATTTTGGGTGGCATCCGGATGCCTACAAAAAATCAATGTAAATCAGAAATGCCAGCAGCAAAGGAAGACATCCCGCAAACATCACTCAAACATTGGGACATTGGTGATCTCATGCATTTTGTTGTCTGATAAATTCGTTTTCAAGCCTATGAAGCCTATGACTCTAATTTTTCATTCCCCTTGGGATGGTCGTTTAACAAAGAGGGGGAATCAAACGGTGACTGGCCATCCCAACTAAAACCCGAACAAATTCAAGCACGCATCTTTCATGACCTGTCTTCAAACATGTTTGAAACACATTTTTTTTTTAACTTATATGTTTATATGGTATTTTTGTGGTATTTTAGCAAGATTTTCCATTCTAAACCATCCATTTTAGGGATCCCCTTTATGAAAACCATATCATGTCAGCTCGTGGCTCTCCAAATGACATCACCAATCACGCGAAGAGTGGCAGTAAGGCAGGATGTAGCGCAAAGCTACGTGTGTGAACTTGTTTTCCGCCAGGTCAACGGTTTCTGGCGGCGCGACAGGTCAACGCATCAAGGGACATGCAGAAAACACAGGTCCACCATAGGCAAATCATGGTTAAAAATCAAAATTATACAAAACATAATTATACAATGACTGGTTCCCAAACTGGAAAATGTGCATCATTTTTGGGTTGATTCCGGTTCCTGCTCTTTTTTTGGGTGATGTCGCCGCAAAAAAAATCGATCCTAGGTATACATAACCTGTAGAAAACCTATCACCTGCCACAAAAGTTGAAACTACATGATAATATAAAGGAAAACACCATTGAAATCCAATTCCATCCAAAAACAAGACCCACAAAACCTCGCATAAAAATTAAAAACATCAAACCCTAAAACCCCCCCCAGACACTCCAAGGTGCCCAGGCATCCCTGCGTTCATAGGAAATATGAGGAACACATTTGGAGAAAAAAATCACCAACCAAATTGGGGGATGGGGATTTTAACCAACAAGTCCAGCTTTGGATTGCCAAGCGGCCACAGCTCTGATAGTCCTTGCGGTACAGCTCCAGATCCTCAAATGATGGGACAATAAAAAACAGCTTGGCACACCTTTAAAGTTGCAAATGCCATGAAATATCATGAACATCTACATTTTTTCTTGGTGATTGCCACTTCCACATATGGAAAAAAACAACAAAAAACTGGAAGGAAACGGCAACTCACGTCAAATCAATCAACAATATTCATGGAACAGGATCCAATTGGGCGGGGGACATCCAACAAATTTCAACTTTTTGTATGGGATGTTATTGGTCATGGCGCCCATGGAGGGGCGGGACTGTTGTCACTTCTGCGCATTGTTTTTGTTTTTTTTTGGGGGGGGTTGGGGGGGTGTAATAGCGTCCTGTGGTCTGCCTTGTCAATATCGATTTCCTGCTTTCAAGATGGTCCTGAGACGTTGTAACATCTTCTTCAACCAACTTGCAAGACGTTCCTGATACGTTAAAACATCTTCTTCAATTAACTGGCAAGACGTTCCTGATACGTTGTAACATCTTCTTCAAGTAACTTGCAAGACGTTCCTGATACGTTGATACGTTGTAACATCTTCTTCAACCAACTTGCAAGACGTTCCTGATACGTTAAAACATCTTCTTCAATTAACTGGCAAGACGTTCCTGATACGTTGTAACATCTTCTTCAAGTAACTTGCAAGACGTTCCTGATACGTTGTAACATCTTCGCCAAGTAACTTGCAAGAAGTTCCTGATACGTTGTAACATCTTCGTCAAGTAACTTGCAAGACGTTCCTGGTACGTTGTAACATCTTCTTCAATTAACTGGCAAGACGTTCCTGGTACGTTGTAACATCTTCTTCAAGTAACTTGCAAGACGTTCCTGATACGTTGTAACATCTTCGCCAAGTAACTTGCAAGAAGTTCCTGATACGTTGTAACATCTTCTTCAACCAACTTGCAAGACGTTCCTGATACGTTAAAACATCTTCTTCAATTAACTGGCAAGACGTTCCTGATACGTTGTAACATCTTCTTCAAGTAACTTGCAAGACGTTCCTGATACGTTGTAACATCTTCGCCAAGTAACTTGCAAGACGTTCCTGATACATGTCGAGTGGAATATGTGAGCCACAAAGATGGGCAATTTACATAAAAATGTCCCAAATGGATCCCAAGGATCACGCGTAGCAGGCACACAGGTCATTAATATGAAATCATACATCCCACCTAATCTCTCTCTCTCTCTCTCTTCAAGGAAATTAAAAGCACATGGAACAGCAGCTGCCTTGATGAAACACTGCCTAATATGGCAATGGTTGCACGAAGTGTTAGCTCCTGGCTACTCCCTATGGGATCAGGTAGGAAAGCTTTGTAAAAAGCACAAAAACAGAGTTGGACTATGGCGTCTCGCATGAAAATGAAAAAAGAGTGACGATTGTCCACTTTCAGAAACGCTGAAAGCGCCGCACTTCTACAGGCGCCGTAACCATGTTATTGCACCAAGTCCTTGAGATTTCAACATCGCCAACAAGGCAATAAGAAACAACCGGAACACCCCACGGGACCCCACATTACCACTATATACCACGATATACCATGATATACCACGATATACCACGATCCAAGTTGCATCAACGTGGAACATCTTCCATTTCCCTTGGTTCCCTTAAGGTTCCCTTAAGGTTCCCTGGTGCTTCCCGCTGCCAAGCATCGGTGACCCGATCGTCCTGCAGATGATGCTGACAACGAAGCACCCCGCGCCAGCTATCCAGACTTACGAGTGGCTCATGCCGCACCATGGCGGCCACACTGGGCCCAAAGTGCTGCGGATGATAGACCTGTTATGGCTTGTATATGCTTGTCGTGTAGAGCATGTCAATCTATCTATCTGATCTATCCAGATGAATCTCATCTAATCTTTACAATCCAATCCAAATTCAATCAAACCTAGTAAAATCCAATCTGTCTATCTCTATCTCTCAGTTTCTTTTTCTCGCTCTCCCTGTGGTTTTTAAGGAGCTGGCTAAGTAGCCTTGGTTTTAGATCCCTACTCGGGATGATACCCAACAATCGTGGGCACATTCTCGTGGGACGGCTATGATGATATGCATGCCACGCAGATTGCTATGAGGAGACCCTGGTAGTCAAACATTGCTATGGAAAAATATGGAACACGGCCTGCTTGTAGATGATTTAGCTATTGATCATGGAGGTTTCCAGTTGTAAACTATTAGATGACCGGAGGGTGTAGAGTGGATTCCCAAGACTGTCCCGTGCCTTGAATGCTGCACCTGCGAACAGCAATTCGGGGAGGTGTGCTGCTTGTTTTCAACTCGTAGAGGGGCAACAAAAAAGTGGGCAGAAATTGGACAGACGCGTTGAATATGCTGATTCTTCTCGGTATGTCAAGGTTGGCACACCTCCACCTCACAGAAAAATATACCCTCTGGTTATTTAACATAGCCGTGGAAAATCACAATTTTTAATAGGTAAACCATCTATAAATGGGCCATTGTCCATGGCTATGTTAAATAGCCAGATGGTAGAAAAATCATGTGAAATCAAGAATGTCCGCAATATCCTGATGGCGGTGACCCCTGCCATGTCGCAATCCAAACATTTGGACGTCAGCTTGCCTGCAGCTCATTGATGCTCACTCATACGTGGCTGACCACTCAAGTTTGAACAAAAACCAAGTTTTGAAGAACATCCAGCTACAAACCAGCAGAACCAATCCACAAGGTCTTCAGCATTTTTGGACATTGCCCAACCATCCCGAAAGAGAAAAGGGCACATCAGGGAACATCTCTTCCTGCAATTTCCTGCAATTTGGGCCTGTTTTGCAGCATCCATCGCGGCCTAAGAGGGAGGCAATCTTCAGGTCATGTCTGGTCATCACATCATTGTCATCTGCAACCAATCGAACTGGCCTAGTGTCATTCCATGTCATTCCTAGTATGGAATCCAAGGACATGAACATGGCGCAAGCAGGTCCACGTCATATGCCCTTCTCAAACCACCAGAGATATCCATAGCATAGCCATGGCTTTGTGCTATTTTCGACTCTTGAACAGCCACACAGACACAATTACAAATCTGTATAGACCTACGTAAACCCACCAAGTGAGCCTAACTTCCGCCACAAGCTCTCTCTTTTTTCCGCCGAGAGCAGCGATGTCACAAACGGCTGGGCTAGCAATACTTGAGGCGTAGCGTAGCAGCTTCAATATCTCAGCCCATAACTCCGAGGAAACATCCAACATGCACATAGCTTCTGTCAATTAAAAATAGCTATTTACATCTATTTACTATGGCAAATGGCCAGTATCTGTTAATGATCTACTTTTTCAAGATGTTGGTTTCCTGTTGAAGTCCCTACATCTTTGATCAACAACATGGTCAATCTTTGGCAGTCCACCAAAAGAAAAGCTCATCTTTTGCTGCTTGGCTGGTTATTGCCCATTGAAAACAGAAAAACAAACAAAACAACATAAAACCATCCAGGATGAGTTTCTATATGTTTCGACTCATCCAGTTGGATCAGTTTATTGGGGATGAGTTTACTCAATCCAATCTCGAAGCCACCGCTGCGGCGCGACCTACGACCTACGCCTTGTGCCTTCTTCCAGCATGTGATCTGAGGCGTCGAGCCCAACCTGGAAGGGGCGCAGGGCGACTGCTGAGGTCAAGATTTTCCTACACAAAATTGGGTGATATGCTGATTGAATAGGAAATTCATGGAAATTCATTATCTTTTATTGTGATTTAATGTGATTGATGGGATTTATAGAGCGGGATTGAAAAATGGATTTTACGAGATTGTATGATGATTACTGTAATGATCTGTAATGATCTGTGATGGGATTTGATGCTGATTAATGGGAATTTCACTAGCAAGAATGGGGGTATGTATGGACAAATACCATCCGAAAATCAAACATGGCGGGCTGGGAAATCCCCCAAACTAAATAAAAGTTTTGAATGGAAAACGACATCGAACTAGATAGGGGTATTTTACAGTAAGCCATATTTGATTACATTGGTTTATCACCCCATCACTGGGATTTTTTGGGTTTGCCACATCACTCACTTTTGAATACCTCATTCTCACAAAATTGGGGGATGGCAACCACAATCGCAAATTCATAAACACGCTCCATGACTTATCAACAATGGGCCAATGGGTGTTATAAATCATCACCAAATGGGAGGTTTATTGCTGGGTTGACCACATTCTCCCCCAATAAAACTATGGGTTTGGGGTTTACGAGTGGGGAAACAACAGTTTGATACAACCCCAAAAACTGGGGATCAAACTTCAATCAACCCTATTGGAAGGGTATGCTGCTAATGGAAACTGCCAGAATCATTTTTTTTTGGACACCTGGACCTAGACCTACATTCGGATCGTAACTATATGTAACTATATAGCTCCACGTGCATCTGTGGTTACACATTTGGTTCACCTGACCTACTACATTGACATAATATGTAGAAATTGGCGTATGGGTAAAGGAGTAAAATGGATTAAAATGGCAAGTACCACCCTAGACACTGACCATGTCTACGAACCTGATAGCCTTATAAGAACAGCCAATGTAGCAAGTCAGCCAATCAAGTGTCGGACATCTGAGCTGAAACCACCAGCAACAAATGAACCATCTATATAAGTATACAATATACATATACCTACACACACACACATATATATATATATATATACACATACGTGTATGTGTGTGTGTAATTGTGTGCATGTAATTGTGTGTGTAATTTGTCTTGAATCCACCTCTTTCCCTTTAAACATCAGCCCCAATCCCCATCCGCCTGACAGTCGCAAGTACCTACTCTCTTCTGAGCAAAAGTGATCTCGCCCCGTCTTCCCGGGGCCATAGAAAACCTCTGGCGATGGCGCATCACCGGGATCAGTTGGATCTGGTGTAGGGGTTTAGAATAGACAAAGACCGTCAGGCTGTATAAAATTCCGATGGAAGTGATGAGTGATGTCATCTGCCCAAATGGTGAGTTCTTCAGGTATCACATCTCTTGAACCTGGCGGCAAACCATAGATTAGAGTTTGTTTCCAGGAACATGTCCCTCGTGAGGCGCCAGAGCTCGCATCTAGGCAGGTTTGTGATTGGGCCGACTTGTCATCACCAACCTGAAAGCCGGAAATCAGCGTTCAACAGCAGCAACAACAACAACAACAACAACAACCACAACCACAACCACAACGACAACGACAACGACAACGACAACGACAACGGCAACAACAACAACAACAACAACAACAACAACAACGACAACGACAACAACAACAACAACAACAACAACAACAACAACAACAACAACCACAACGACAACGACAACGACAACGACAACGACAACGACAACGACAACAACAACAACAACAACAACAACAACAACAACAACAACCACAACCACAACCACAACCACAACGACAACGACAACGACAACGACAACGGCAACGGCAACGACAACAACAACAACAACAACAACAACCACAACCACAACCACAACCACAACGACAACGACAACGACAACGACAACGACAACGACAACGACAACAACAACAACAACAACAACAACAACAACAACAACAACCACCACGACAACAACCACAACCACAACAACCACAACCAGGTTCCGCTCCTGAAAGATCTCAATTGTGGAGCATATCCTCATATCGCCTCCCTTCCGCCCAACGGTGCCCAGCAACCCAGGGTTGGCGCTTTCGACTTTCCAGCTTCGACAGGGTTTCGGAGCCCACCTGGAAACTCCAAGGTCTCCGAATGTAGCGTCTTGGCTAGCCATGATGATAGGAACCTTGATTTCCATGAGGTTCCTGTGCCACAAAACCATGTGAAACCCCAGTGAGATGGAAAACCCCCGGCCAGTTCCAGCCAGTGGTGACATTGCTTGCCATTTAACCTCTGAACACTTGAATCTTAGAGGCCGCAAAAAGATGAACGTTCTGCTGGGCATTGTCTTCGCCATGGTCAGCTCACAGTAAATGGGTAGATATGAACATACTAGATCTAGGGATTACCCTCCAGTAAATTAACATAGACCCTGCCAGATAGGGGTTGGAAGATGAGTTTCCACTAAAATTTGGTGATGTTCAGGGTCTATGTTAATTTACTAGAGCGTATATCCCAACTTATGGAGGCTATGATCATGGCTATTCACATCAGCCCATTAACCACAAGTGCACCCACCCATCGCCTCGATCTCCACGACTTTATTCCCTTGTCTTTGCCAACTTCGTCCGGGACCCACCAATGTCAAGGCCACACCTGGGGAGTCAGGGAGCCTGGCGATGTTTGGAATCTCTGGAGCGAAATATGAAGGAAATGCCGGGGTCAAGCAATTTTGGATGATGAAGTTGCACTGATTGTTTCTTGTCATTAAGTTTTGGAAAACGTAGGAGGCCCTTCAAAGAGGACCACAATTAAAAATGATTGAAACCTCACAGATTCAACCAAATCAAAGATAGTCAAAGGGCATATTCATATTTATTCAACATTTATTCACCTAGTCTCTTGATTGATCACCCTGATGTCTCCCCTTGACCAATTCCCATGGCTTCAAGCCGAGCGCCTTGAGGACTCAAGACCTTTTTGGCCACGTCGTCGTAGCCTTGGAGCAAGGCTTGTGGATCGATGAGGATTGATCGGTGGTTGAACCCATCAGGATGGCCGGATGGCCTTCCTTCGATGTTGCAATCGTGGTATGGAAGGAACTGCACCAATTTTAATGTCTGCCTGTCTCTCATTCCACCTCCGCTTAGGCTTGATATTCTATCATTATATCATATTATATCAACATGCCGTGACATATCATAGGTATGCAAAACGTGCTTGTCTACACATGGGGACTCATGGGAAACCATTTATAAGAAAAAACAACATGAGCTGCGGGTATGTCATCATCCCAGGTAGCTTGGGAAACCCATCACATTCAAAAACCATCACATGCACATTTGTGGATATATCGATTAATGTATTGTTTTTAATATTTTTGAATAAACAAATAATTGTTGAAAAAGCTGTTATTCTACCGGATTCTACCGCTATCCAACTATCATAACTCCCCATGTTGCACTGGGTAAACCGTGGTGAAGCGCTCAAAAACCATGTGAAAAACACTGACATATAGCGACACCACCAGGGAGCCATCGATCTCTTCATGCACATCGATCTGCAGCATCAGATCGGCCTGGAACCTGCGAGTTTGACATCGACCCATGTCGTTGTCCACCAATTTATGGTCCAAAAAGGTCCGAAAGATGGGACAAAACATGTCTAGATCATTTTTGGATCTTGAATTTGGATTATAAACAAACATAGTTGATAAACATTGGTAAGAGAAAAATAAACGAAGGTGAGCATGGGCACATGTTCAAGATACAATCAACACACCTAAGCACTTGTTTCTTTTTTCGCCGCAATATTAGTTTGGTATGTTTTATAGACATGTTTAAATATGCCAAGAACAGTTCGGTACATCGACGGTGCCGTTTCGCCTCGAATCCTCCGCCACAGCAGCGGCATATGAAGCCAACGTGCCGAAGGAATAAACGCTGAGATCCTTCGCAAACCATCCTTGGAAGCGGCCGCGGCAGTGCCGAATCAGGAATCCCATGGGCACAGTGAAACTGTCTGGTGCTATAACTAATCCATCCAAAAGATTTCGCACGAGTCAACTTTAATACAGGAAAAAATGCCAAAGTGGTGAAAAAGTGACCGCCACAAAGCATCAGCTCCCTGAAATGGGTTAGTACACCATCCCCAAATGGTCGGTTCACGTTGGGTTTACCGTAGGGATGGTAACCATAGATGATCCGGGCCCCAAATCCAATGGTTTCTCATGGTTTTTCGTACCATTCCAAGTAGATTCACATAGACCCTACCAGATGGGGGTTGGACGATTATTGTGATTATTTTCCATTTAAAACATACGTTCTTTTCAGGGTCTATGAGTCTATGTTAATTTACCAGAGCTTCAATTTCCCAGGAAAAAGACCGCATCCGGCACCTTCAAGCAACGACCAAGTCAACGCCCAGGCTCTGGCGAATTGCTTCAGCGCCCTGGCCGATTCATCCGTGTAGAGACCGTCCTAACGAACGAACGGACCGTGCTGGTTGGTTCCAGGTAGCAGGTGATGTTTCAACATAGCTGCAGAGCTATTGAAAATTGCCATTTATAGTTCATTTACCTGTTAAACATGGTGATGTTCCATTGCTATGTTAAATTGCCGGAGGGCATGTTTCTTTCACTTAAGAATACTCAAGAACACGTTCATCTAGGTTTTTCATTTCTGCAAAGGCATGGCTCAGAATGGCTGAAAGATCTGACAGCCTGTGCCCTTTTGCATCCCTGTGCCATGTGCCAAATCAAAGGGTCACTTAGACATGGAGGTAGTCAACTCTTAACACGTGGGTTGTATCCCCCTACTAAAGTGGGTTATAGTGGGCTATACCATGATATAAGACCCTTAACAACTTAACTCCATGACCCATCTAAGCAGTGCGAAAAACTTGGTCGATTTTGAGCTCCGCCAAGCATCGACGTTCCCTGAATCTACACAATGATTCCAGACTTGGATCTTTCGCATCTCTCCGCAAAACTTGACCTGGATGACAGTCAGCTCACAAGAGTCGCAGTATCCAATGTGATCCAGCATGGTTTATATCTGGTTTATCCTTCAAAGGATAGTATATGCTACAATTGTCATTATAAACTAGGATCTGCCGAAAGTTAGCCAATATAAACTAGCACAGTAGACCTATATGTCTTTAATTCTAAGGCTCCAATCTCCATCACTTCAGCTATGCCCAGCCTGCGAGGCAGAGGATTGCCCCACATACAGCCGCTTCCGTGGCAGCCGCTCAGGCGGATGCCCCTGACGGCTCACGGCCAACTGCCCATCGATGTAGATGCGCATCATCCCACTCGCGCTGACCTTGATGGCAATGCTGTCTCCCGGTGGCGCCATGCTACAAAAAATGGTTTTGGACTTACCAAGATAATACAAAAGCAACCAACCAATTGAGCATAAAACGTGAACGTGATGAAACCATCCATAATTAATCTGACCTGTCTTTATGATAGTTGAAAAGGTGGTACTGAATGTATAGGCATCGTTGGACAGAATGGTCACCCACCAGTATTCGCTACTGGTACGAATCGAGGCATTCTTGAAACGATCACTACAGGACTACAGGTGAATGGGGTACCCCTAGGACACTCTCTAGCATTCTGCAGGAAACTAGTTGAATAGTTGATACTGCTGGAGACGGAGGTAAGCCCAACTAACACCCAATGGAATTAGCACAAGTTGAAGATTGTCAAAAAAGGAAGACAAACAAAGCCCCAGTGGCTGCAGACAAACTACACTACCTTTCGTTGCATGATAGTGGGACACTGCCCCAGATGAATGGAGCCCAAAGTTTAAATGAATGGGATGGTTGAAAATTGAAATGCTTTGGAAGGTCTTTTGAACTCCCTTGTCAACGCTTTTTGCGGAGACCCAGCCAGTGAGAAAAAACACACACACTAGATGAAGCTACCAGTAGCGACTGCGCTTGTGGAGTTTTGGCGTCGCTGGACCACCCTAAATCGAGCGTTCTAACAGGGAGCGACCGTCACTCCCTGTTAGAACACTCACTACCGGTAGCGACTGCACTTGTGGAGTTTTGGAGTCGCTGGACCACCCTAAATCTTGCGTTCTTCTCAGTACAACCCCAGCGAAAACACAAGATGATCCTTGGGTCGATGATTCCGGTGGCACCCTTAGAACACTCACTACCGGTAGCGAGCGTTCTAACAGGGAGCGACCGTCACTCCCTGTTAGAACACTCACTACCGGTAGCGAGCGTTCTAGTGGAGTTTTTCCGTCGCTGGGGCACCATCAATCTTGCGTTCTTCTCACTAAGACCCCGGCGAAAACACAAGATCATCCCTGGGTCGATGTTTCCCAACCCTCCCTTAGAACACTCACTACCGGTAGCGAGCGTTCTAACGGTAGCGAGCGTTCTAACAGGGAGCGACCGTCACTCCCTGTTAGAACACTATTTATCTTAATAGCACCATTTTTTTATACATTTTGAATCCCCAAATCACTACCGGTAGTGAGCGTTCTAAGGGCTCCACATTGACAGAATTCCCAATTCACTACCGGTAGTGAGCGTTCTAAGGGCTCCCCATTGACAGAATTCCCAATTCACTACCGGTAGCGAGCGTTCTAAGGGCTCCCCATTGACAAAATTCCCAATTCACTACCAGTAGCCAATTCACTACCGGTAGCGAGCGTTCTAAGGGTTTCCAATTAAGGGTTTCCAATTCACTACCGGCAGCGAGCGTTCTAAGGGTTTCCAATTAAGGGTTTCCAATTCACTATCGGTAGCGAGCGTTCCCGGGGTTCCCAATTCACTACCGCTAGCGAGCGTTCTAAGAGTTCCCAATTCACTACCGCTAGCGAGCGTTCTAAGGGTTCCCAATTCACTACCGGTAGCGAGCGTTCTAAGGGTTCCCAATTCACTATCGGTAGCGAGCGTTCTAAGAGTTCCCAATTCACGACCGGTAGCGAGCGTTCTAAGGGTTTCCATTCACTACCGGTAGCGAGCGTTCTAAGGATTCTCAATTCACTATCGGTAGCGCGTGTTTTAAGGGACCCAATTCACTACCGCTAGCGAGCGTTCTAAGATGTTCTAAGGGTGCCCAGTTCAGACCAGTAGTGAATGTTGGTGGAGTAACCGTGGCGTCCAAAGATGCAAATATACAGTACCACCTTTTCAACTATCATAAAAGCAGGACAGTAATATATATATATAAGATCCTACTCCTTTCAATCCTCCATTTTACCTCCATTTTCCTCCCCCAGGTTGGATCATTTTGTCTGCATCTTCAAGGCGCTGTGAAGAGGTAGAGATGCGGCTGCTGAGGGACCCATGCCCCTGCCGCTGCCACCTGTGCGTCTTCCTCCCCGCGGCGCACGCCGAAGATCAAGCCGCCCACGCCCGGGGCGCCGACGTCTTCGGGGAAGGAGACCACGTCCACGTAGATGTTGTCTTCATCCTGGGGTCTACGGGGATTTAGATGGGAAAAATCATGGGAAAGAACATGAAAGATACAATAAATCATGGAAAGTTATGGGAAAATCATGTATATAATTACAGAATCCTGATTTTTATATGGAATCTATATAATGATATGAGCATCAAACACTGAATTGTGTATGGGAACATATGGGAAAACATGATGGACAACAAGGTGTTCATATGATGGATTGGTTCATCCCCGGCCGGCTATCAGGGATTTCACCATCAAAAACTGTAACATTGGATTATGTTCCTTGAATATCCCGATTTTCGATTTGCCAATGGGAAAAAACATGGGAAATCATGAGCATAAAAATTGGAACTGGGATAGAAATGGATAGAATACAATAAATGGATTTTGCCCAGGATTCTTCCACTTGTTTCCCAGAAAATCTTGGAGACTGGATGGGATCATGGGGGTTGAGATTGAAATTTTGGATTTACGGTAAAGGTCACCACACATTCGAAGAGATTTGTATTCTAATCTTGTTACACTACCAAACATATGGAACATTTACTTGGAACATCTTGGAACCAAAAAAAAATCTGCACGGCTTGAACCCCGGTGACCGTGCCCAGCTTCGATCCCATTGCAGAAGTCGAAGAGGCGACTACCGTAGCATGCAGAGCCCTCGAAGTTGATCACAGCTGAAAAGGAGAACTCAGGGCCCACCTCACCTTGGGAATATGGCAATGGATGGCCATGGGAATTTTCGCGCAAATTGAAGAGACCATAGAATATGAGGCGCAAATGTAAGGACTATGGTGCAGTATATCTCTCTTGTTTCAGTTTCTGACATTCCCATTTATGGTGGTCCAAGATGCCTTGTTAGGAGGACATGGCTTCTATATTTCTATCAAGTATAATTCAAGAACAAGAAATGGCACCACCAACCGAGTTTAGAACATCTGAAGATGGCAATGATCTTCCTCACTTAAAAAGGCAGGAAGTCACCAGGTTTACCCAGCCCGCCATGGCCCGATGCGCACCACATGGCGTAGTGATTCTTTAAGGCAAACCATTACAATGTGGGGCCCCCAAGATAGCGTTCAGTTGCCTTATAAGTGGTTTAACTATGGTTTATTTTAGATATAACTATAGTTACAGTAATAGGTTTATAAACCAATCTTAAAATCATCAGGAACTGGATTGCTACCCTTTTTTAAACTGGGATACTGCGTGGAGCACACGGCATGCGGCATACTGCAAGTAGAAATCATTTGATCTGGCAAAGCCACTGGTAAACAGGGATACATTGACACTTTTACAACCCACGGCCAAAATGCTCTACTTGTTTTTTCTTCCTCACACTAACTTCCAATCTTCCAATGAGTTTGCTGAGTAGCATGTAACTTTCTTTCTAGATTCCGGTGATCAAACAATATCAATCCACCAGGATCCAGGATTTTTCGATCATCAGATCCCAGCTGCTGTGATAACCTAGCTGGCAGAGATCCAAACCACCTTCTTCACTGGAGAATTTCCTCCCTTCGCCTCAAAGACAAATGGGGACACATGTTTTTTTTTTTTTCTCCCCGGAACTGGGCAAATGGGGACATTATGCAAATGGATACATAGGGGAATAGTATATACATACTATACACATATATATATATATTAGTTAACTAGTCCATTAAACAATATATTAATTAAGCAATGACCTGATTATGTAATATAATATGTGTATATATATATATATATGTGTGTGTACTAAGAAACATATTCAGTTCAAATATGGTATGTGGCATGGTAGGCGGAAAGCAATTCTGTCTTAGAGTATATCACGACACATGCATGCTGTGTGATCCAGTATGGAACCAATTATGTGGAGATATCCACGAATTTCTCGACTTTCCGAGTCCTGCTCAGTACATACACAGATTCTATCGTGTGTTGTCCCCAAAATACCCACCCCTTAAAACAAACTCTACTGTGAGCATGGGATTTGTTCATTTTGTAGACCATGTTCAGACATTTTTGGTACCTGGTACAGAATGATTATACTGCAGTAAAGCAACAATAAAGCGTCCATGTTACCATCATCATCTCACCTACTCTAAACCAACATATGGTTTAACAATCTGTTTACCACCATTTATTTGTACTCTAAACCAACAGTAGACGTGGTGTTTACATGTGTTTACCACCAAGGCGCAGGCGATCACCGGCTCCGCCGTGCGCAGATCGACCACCACCACGCGCGAGACCGGCAGCTCGGCTGCCCGGAGCTTCTCGAGGATGATCCTTGGAGCGGATGGTGGGTTTGCCATCCAATCAATGGAAATTTCAGGAACCTAAAAATCCGCCGGGAAAAACTCAATGCCCAATGGCCATGTCCAAATGGCATTGATCACTTGGAATCTACCCTCTGGTTATGTCAAAATAGCTATTGAAAATGGCCATAGAAATAGTGGATTTTCCCATTGAAAATGGTGATTTTCCATAGCTATGTTAGTTTACCAGAGGGTTTTCCATCCAATGTTGTGGTTGCACCTAGGAGGAAAAAATGGGTGGTAAATGACGTTTAAATGTACATGTTTACTCAATCATCTCAAATTATTGGATGTTTAACTGGATGTTCTTGTAATTTCAAATCTTTTCAGACGTTTAAACTGACAAGAACATCCAATACCTTCTTTGCTACAAATCATCTGGTAGATGTTGTGAACTGTCATCCATCATCCATCTCATCTGTTATCAACAATAGTGCAAATACTTCTTCCAACATCAGTGTCAAGTGACATCATATCATTTTATATATCACGAGTATTCAGCCGTTTTTGTCAAGGATGACCGCCCAATGATAGATGCTTAGCAAGCCCTTACCAGTGGTTATTGGTTGTTAGGGGGGTCACCCTTGAGGGGATTGAATTCCATTGCTGCTTAAGTATCCAATCCTGCGCCAGCAATCCAGCGCCCACCGAGACCTTAAAGGCCGATGGCGAAGGATAGCCAAGGACATGGACCAGGAGATGGATCAACACACCACAATTTGGGGATGAACATCCATTTACCACCTATTTTGGGGTGAACAAAAGGGTACCAGGGTTTTGGCTCATACTGATACTCATATACTATCATATACCTATTTCACATGCAGCCAGGTCGGTATATGCCGGTATGACCTCACCTTATTTTGATTTCAAGGACGTGGCAGTCATCAACAAACCAAAGGAATATGACATGGACCCCGCCATTGGCTCCTGGAAGGTGAAATTTTGAAAGTTATGTGAAGTAGTGTAAAGTGGTGCGTCATACTGTCAAGGCCCAAAATTCTTGCTCCATAAATCTTGGCTTTCGACCCATACCCGGGATACCCAACCTGGATAGGAAGATATGTCTTTCAGACCATCTGCACTTGCAGTCCAGGCACGTAAGTGTTGATGCCCTTGCCAGACTCAGCAAAGCATCGCCTCGATTTCATCTGGCGGCCATCTCCCAAACTTCTCGTCCAGTTTTGGCGTCGAAAAGTTGTTTCAAGTCTGCATGTGGCGGCCCCTCACTTAAATAAATTGCAGTGGTTGAGGCCTGACACTCAGCTCAGATGATCCAAGATCATTTTCACCTTGAACATTCCGACCTTACCAAGCACCCTTAGTGCTCACACCTCTTATCAGTAGCCAGCCATGAAGACTTCTACTGAACATGACCAGTTGGATAAATCAGAGGCCCCAAGTTCCAAGTTGATGCCAACACAAGATAAATAAACTGGACTATTTATCAGGGAGGTTCCCCTCAAAAAAAAGGTGATATGGTGTGATTCTGCGTGCCTAATTTGTGACTATTTGCATCTATTTGCACTTGCATTGGTACAATAACCCAGGGCTGAACGCCAAATCTATCCAAATCTGGCATTGACATTATAGCAGGGGCACCACTTGGCATCGCCAATCTTACATTTCCTGCAACAAAATTGGCTGGTTCGCACATATTCCCATTTACGGCAAAGAAAGGATTTACCACTTGGCGGTTTCTGTTTTAAACCCTTTGAACCATCTGCCCGATCATCACCCCAAATATGCTTGACACAAAGGTGTACCATCCAACTAGATCCAACTTCACGACTGTTACCGACTGTTACATCAAACCTTCTTCAAGTACCAGAACTTACTTCATCAGATCTTTATCAGTCTTTATGCAGTGTTTACCCATCCATATCCATATCTGGTTGGTGGTATACCTACCCCTCTGAAAAATATGAAAGTCAATGGGAAAGATTGATTACCCCACATATATATATATATATATATATTTATCATATATATATATATTTATCATATATATATATATCCATAGCTATATATAATGGAAAGTAAAAGCCATGTTCCAAACCACCAACCAGATATCCATCTCCATCCCACGGTTGACCAAGCCACACCGCATGCTGCAGCACCGTTTCTTCCACCGCCTGACGCACCTCGTGCCGCTTGGGCCGATAGCTGGGGCAGTTCACGTCGCCGCACTCGCCCAAGGAGCAAATGGGGCAGGCCTCGCCACCTCAGCGTCTCCCGGGCTGGCATAGGATGGAGGTATCACCATAAAACATGGGGAAAAATATGGCAAAATGATGCAAAAACCCTGTAATTTGTCTGAATTTGTATATATGTTTGTTGGGAGTAAGTTGCGATAGAACCATAATGACCAACAATTGTGGGGATACAATGAGATATATAATAGGGATAATGGGAATAGAATGGGGTAGAACCAATATTTGGATATGCTCCGGTGTCATCAAACATGGCTGGGAGGTTGCAGGATCGAAAGAGGCGACCTATGGCAATCTCCCATCCCAAGAATGGTCGGGGTTATTGTCATCGCAGGGACGAACACCTCATCAAAGACTAAACCACCAGGACCGGGACAGTATGACCTGGTTCACCGGTGAAAATGCAATAAGTTTGGTAGTGCTGGGATCTTCAAGTTTGGTACCCGTTTGTATGTCGTGAATTGATCCTGAAGTTTTGGGGTCCATCCTTCTGAGCCCAGCCATCGCCCCCGATTTCTGCGAAGTGTCAAGGCAGCTCGAAAGGAAAAGGCATTTGCCAGCCGGAGAAATCATTTTCCTCGCTTGGGTTCATCGCGGTTACGCGGAAACTGCCAGCAAACGCAACCCCGAAATATGCACATGCCGGGCATATGTCAGTATGCCTTTCCAAAAAAAAAACGTGTAAACATGGGAATACCTCGGACAATTGGGATCTTCTGTAAACATGTGAATAACATGCAAAACGATCATCTTTGGGCAACAGGTTCCATCTCACCCGCCCAAGATTCGAAATGCTTCCGCTCCAGGAGCTGCAAAGCCTCGACCATGCTGGCTGTTCAGTCGCAGAAAAGTCGCTGTTTGATCAGCTGATCTTCAAAATTCCATTGAACATCTTGAACTACCCTCTGGTAAACATACAAAAAACTATGGCATTTTTAATGGGTAAATCCACTATAAATGACTATCTGGTAAACTAACAAAAAACTATGGAAAGATCCACCATGTTTAATGGGTAAATCCACTATTTCTATGGCCATTTTCAATAGCTTTTTGTATGTTTACCAGAGGGTACCCAGATCATCCACTGATCCATGATGGAACATGATGAACGTGAAACAATTGCCCCAAGGATCACCCCATGGATCGTAGTTTTCATGGATCCCAGTTTTACGACTAGTTACCATCCAAATCAGTCGCTCCATTAGAGAAATATATAGAAATCATTGGACACAAAAAAAGTTGTCATAATCAAGTGCATTCCAATGATTAGCTTCTATATTTCCAAAATAATCCAATGGTGACTTTGAAATATATGTTACCCTCTGGTAAACAAACATAGCTATAGAAAATGGTCATTTATAGTTGATTTACCCATTAAAAATGGTGATTTTCCATAGTTTTTTTGTATGTTTACCAGAGGGTAATCCAAGTTGTCACCCAGAGTTGAACTCCCAAAGACCATCCCTGCACCGGAAAATCGATTGTTTCCCCGAAACATTCAAGTTATCCTATAATGGTGACAGTGATGCATCATAAGAGGATTATACACCATCCATAGTTTAGACATGCTTATTTTTATATATGATCCATTTTCATCCATTTTCATATATCCTACAGGAGGTCATATCAGCATGCATTCATGCAAATAACTTGGATTTGCTTAAGGAACTACACAAATTCCACCAAATCCCCAGTAAATTCACCAAATGAATAGATTTCCTATTGGGAAAATCACAAACTGGCTGGTGGTTTCTTTCCCATCTTGAAAAATATGAGTTCGTCAATGGGAAGGATGACATACCAAAAAATATTATGGAAAATAAAACATGTTCCAAACCACCAACCAGCTATAGTTAACTATGGTTAATGGTGATTTAATGGGGATTCATATGGATTTTATGGTGATTAACAAGATGATTTAATGGTGACTTCCAAACCACCAACCAGTGTTTGTTGGTCTATAAACCATTATAATCCCCATTAACTAGTTCGTTATATCATGTTATATCTACCATAAACCATAGTTAATCCATATTTCCAGTCACCACCAACCAGCAAAATTACCTTCACCAAAGCCTCCAGGAGGATCCGCCCAACCCTGGCCTCTCTCCTCGCTGTCACCGAGATGTCATCGCCACGCGGCACCAGCCACCGCTTCCCAGCAGTAGGTTGAAGATCAATAGGATCCAGCCATCGTTGTGGCTCCTACCAGGGACAGTGCTTCCACTGTGATGAAAACATGGGATTTACCTTTTCCAAAAATATGGATATAATATGGATAAAACCACCGATACAACATGGGTACATTATGGATAAATATGGATAGCATATGTTTATAATATGGATAATTTGGATATAGAATGATATAATCTGGATACTGTATAATATGGATAAAATGGAATATCATGGGATACAACATCATATTAGCCAACAGTTCTTGAGTTGCTTGGTTGTTTCAACCTAGCTGAAAAGAATCAGTGGTTGCGCATCATCACCGGCCAGTTATCTTTGAACATGGCCAATTTAGGGATCACTGACCATTTTAAACATTCAATGACTATCAGTGAGCAGTCTTTACTTTTGTTCATCATGATTTTGCCTTGGCATTGGCGAAGACCTGGCTATCAAATGCTGCCAAACTCAACTTCACCTTTGATTATGTCACAGTTTAACACGCACAACCCATATAATATATCTGTATATGTTTTTTAATATAGTAATATACACATATAGCATTTATAACATGTATATATATATATATGGTCTCATTTATATTATCCAAGTTATATCAATCGTTTAAAAGAAAAAAACATCTCCCCGGTCCCCCCTTGTGCTGACTTCACCTCCGCACGCCGCCGCGGCAGCGGGACGTTGGACCTGACCCGCCGGGACGAGGTCGCCGAGGTCGCCGGCCCCGGCGCCGCCGGGCAAAAGCTCTGAGGCAGCCCCGCAGTGGTCATGGGACATCGAAAATGGCGCTGGTTTTTTTTGTTCACAAAAATTTGCCTATTAGGGGGATAGGATTGCCATTTTGAGTGATCTAATTGGTGAAATTTGGGGGGGAATCTCTGATAAATATGACACTTGGTGTTTAGCACTGTACAGTACCAATGTGTCAAGACAGCGTTGAACGGCCTTTAAGGGGAATCTGATGATGGTGCCCCCACCAACATGTTGGGGGATGTTGGTGGTTCCTTTCTTTTGCATGCGTTTAACTCTGGTATGTGACACGAGTCCTATGATGTTGGTAAACAATCCCCTGACAGTTGACTTTCCAGTGCAATTTTGATACTGTATTTGATTACATTTCAAGGATCCTCCAAGGAAAGTCAAGCAAGAAGAATGATGGGTGGCACTTCATATTGCATTTGGCTACATGCAGATATGAGAGTAACAAACACCAAACCAACAAGGATACGATCAACCAATTTCTGACTGGAACTGTCGGTGAGACGAGCAACCACAATTTATATCCCATAGGATCCGTGTATGGTATATATGCTAACATTGGGGGTATATTGATGGTAAATGTTACCATATATAGCATACATGGATCCTATGGGTATATACATGTTTAATATTGTTTAATCATTTTTGGCTTGGTTCATCTTGGTAGTGAGATAAAGCACTGCTGAGTTTCACGTGGCTTTCGGCGTAGTGTTGATGGCTGCAGATGGCAACTGCGACTGAGACCTTTGCGACTTTTGGGGTACGGTATGGGTGAGTCTTGGTCTGGCAATATTTGCCATGCCATTTATTCAGGGTAATTCCTTGGCGGTCTTACTTGGTTGCTCGGTACTACAATGAGGCCTTAGAACCCCAGGACTTGTGTCGGCAAACAGGATCTCCTCGCATGCTTCAACTTCAGCGCCGCCAAAAAGATAGAAACTTAGAGAAATCCAATAGTTAAATCATGGTCAATTCTACTGTTCACTACCTTTCTATCTATTTTTTTGGGAGGTTATCAATGGGAAACTGCCCCACAAACTGGCTATCTGCGCCACGGGGACCTTGCCGCAACGGGTACCACAAGGCGGACGCGTTGCGGCCGCAACGCAGCTGGAGCCCCTGGATGCCTGCGGAAATCCTGAGCAATGCGAACTTCATCATGAAATATGCCTGTACAAAATGGGTTAAAAATGCATGTGCATAGGCACGGTGTGCGTGTATAAATATATATATATATATGTGTGTATATGTATGTGTGTGTGTGAATACACACGTATAATATATATATATATACACATGTATATATATATATATACATAAATACGTGTGTGTGTGTACTGATATGCATGTTGTTTATGATGTGGTGTTCAACACGTACATACAATCATACATTATATGCAAAAACATGTTTGGTTTTCCAAATGAATTGACCTTACCGTAGGTCCATTGATGACTTTCCTGTTGAACATTGACCAATGGACATTGAAGGCTTTCGTGCTAGACTTCCCGGGGGTACTTCAACTGCACCAAGGGAGCAGCATTTGTATCTGAACACCCAGTTCATCTCAAACACCCCGCAGAAACCATGCTTTAGTAAGGGTAGTGATAGTGCATATATTTGGGGATGGGTCAAAACCCTGGTACCCTTTTGTTCACCCCAAAATAGCTGGGATTTATGGATGTTCATCCCCCTAAAAATGGTATTAATAGGTATTGATCCATACCCATTTGGGACCATAGGAGGGTGGTGTCTTTATAATGGGGGATGGGAATATTGTCCCCATCCCCCCTGAAAGGTTCATCTAGCTGCCTCTGGTGACAAGTCCAACTGACTCGGCTAAGTCCCTGTCTCTCGTTACCATTTCAGGATATCGGAGACCATCTGTTCATCCATTTCTGGCTAGAAACTATATGCAACCAATCAACTACCAGTCAACTACCAATCAACACTCCAAATACCCCAAACAAAATGGTAAAAGCATGTAAAAGTACTAAAATTAAATGGGGTAAAACACCCAATTTTATGGGTACGAGATGGTACGAGGTCACGAGGTCACCCTGCAAGGTCAAATGGAACCTGGCAATCGAAACTTCAATGTTCGTTGGAATTTCATGTGGTAAAGCCAATTTCATAAACCTCCATTGGGGATGGTTTATCATTGGGTTTACCATGGTTTAATATATGTTCAACTGTTCCGATTTTCCTATAGATTGTCCAGACATTGGTGATGTCCTATTGCCGACAGTTGGATTCCCATGTCACTGGTTCTTTTTCAGCTTGTCCGCACCACGCGCCACGCGGCAAACATTCATGGCGCCATCATGGCGGTTTCAGCCATCGTGGCGCAGCACTGCGAGCAGTGTGGTTGAAACCACAGGTAGGTTGAAGGATCCAAGTCTGGAGCTTAAGGCTCGAGAAACATCAAGTCTTCATTTTTTGTGTGCTGATTCTACATCTATATTCATATATCATCATATATCCAAATAGAACCTATGAATTTCAATGTTCATATTGATATTATGCAAATATCTATATCATCTACCAATGGATCCTCAATTTCCTTAGATATCTCAAGGATCTCAAGGTATATCTTTAAGACTCATATCTAAGGCAGCAATCCGCCATCCATCCGGGTGGGATCTTGGGATGGCGTTTTTGGCAAAGGCCGATCTAAGGGGTCCGATCTAATCTCGGACCATGGGTCAATGGATTGCTGGGGAACATCCTGACCGGAAATACCGTGCTTTTCCCATTTTTTTTTTTTTAACAATCCATTGAATGGATGGGAACTTGACCCCATGGCACTGGAGGATATCAGAATCTCTGAGATGTTCTGCTTACGTTTTTTTTTCGCGGAAGATGATGCATGTCGGAAGAAATGCTTTCCATAGATTTAATAAAAGGTATCTTGCAACACCCTCTGGAGTCTAGTGCCAGGAGGATTGATCAAGTCTCAGGTATTCAGCAAAAATGTCAAAAAGATGCAAACTGCATCGGTCCATAAAAATGGCCATTCTCAACTGCTGCAAGTGCAGTTGTTCTGGGAACACAGCCCACGTCTGTCCATGCAACTTTTCATGGGAAATCCATGACTAATCAATGTTAGCCATCAATTCTTGAGGTGTTTGTTCCTTGCAATTTCCCAAACAAACCTATGATATTATGTATGTGTATATATGTGTGTTGTTGTTTATTTATATATCATTATCTATACTATTAGATGATATATTGTCAATGACACTACTGCATGCTTATCCATCCCACGATGAGAATCCTGATGACGCGCATATCAAATCCCAACAGATTGACAGATTGACGACCATCCGAAAATATGGGTATACATATCCAACCTTTGACCATGGCACATATGCACAATATTGTACAATGTTCCAATGATGTATAAACTGTCTTCTGGCATGGTTGCAGCCTGATATCCGTAGATATATTTTTTGTTGCTTGTGCTAAACATAGCGATGCATGTGATAAACCCAATAATCCGATCAGTTTGGAATTGTTTATAAAAACCATTTATGGTCAGTGCTTGGGGATGGTTTGTGGCATTGGGTTGAAAATGGTTCAAAACATTGGTTGAAATCACCAATCAAAACTTGGAGATCATGTGTGTACTTCCTACAGGTGTCTAAAGAATCTCCAATGTGGCAACCCCAATAATCAACCATGCCCAAAATCACCATTTTAATGGGTGCTGTAAACCATCCCCAAATGGTAATTAGTTCTTTATGGCAGCCAGGCTTTCCCAAATTGTGCGATGTGTTCCCAACACCTCTTGGAGTGCGAAAATCCTCTTTGAGGAACGCAGGCCCTCCAATCAAAAAGTGGCTTGAAAAGAACAGCCCCGAGTTGAGGCCGCATCTAACATCACCCTTTTACCCAACAAAAATAGGGGAGTTGAAGAGGTCAAAAACCCTCCACAAAAGACGATTTGAAAGACGATTTGAAATACTTCCAAAATCTTCCAAATAGTTCGAACACAGCCCCAAGTCCAACCAGCTCAAGTCAAATGTCAGCACAACTCATCCCACTTTTGACCTCCAACGACTCTTTTCGGTCACGGTCACGCGAACGGTCACTCTCAGCACACTGATGCACGCCTTCTGCGGGACCTTGGAGCCATTGGAGGCGTCATAAGATCAGAGATCCGGGATGAACATACAAAAAAGATGGAAAATCACTATCTTTAATGGGAAAAGTGAATATATAAATGGGCCATTTTCAATATGTAAGAAATTACCAGAGGGTAATTCCCGGATGTCATCCATACACAAATATAGAATACAGAATGATACAGAATGCAGGTAGATAAATATTTGTAAACCATTTGAAAAGATGGGATCATGTGCAGTCATTTGAGGATGATAATCGTAGGAGATCTGTGGTCTAATTACTGGGAAATCACCTATGACTATTGTACACAGTCGACTTTCCACAACAATGGGGTCACATGACCAACAAAGCAAATGGGAGGTCAATTCTTGGTGACCTATGCAAAGGTTTTCAAAACAAGCTACCCCTGGCTGACAAGTATCCGAACTGCTGTCCAATTTGTATCTTGGGCGGCGTAACCCAGATACAAAGCACTGATTCTGTGCCTTTCCTAGTGAGATACCACATCCTTGTTGCTTGAAACCTAGATGAAGATGGGGTCAAAACCCTGTAGCCCTGTACTTCACCTCAAAATAGCTCAAATTGATATCAATTCATCAAATTCATGGATATTCATGGGATGTTCGTCAAAAAAAAAGACTATCACTTCAGCATTGGTTCCCACAAACCTTTGATTTTGCCGACTGTGCTCCATTTTCTCCAGGTGCCCCCGGCGCCGGCGGTGCTTCCAGAGTCTCCGACGCATCCTGGAGGGAAAACCGCGGGAAAAACTCCATGCCCAATGGCCATGTCCAAATGGCATTGATCAATATTGATCACTTGGAATCATGAAGGATGGCCTGAATATGATTTTCAGGCCCCAACAAAAATCTTGTTGGAATCATATTCTACAACCAACATGAATATGATTTGGGCCTGGAAGTGGCTTATATACACCCATCTGTGACCATGTTCGAAGGCGAAATGATGATGAACCATGAGATGGAATGTGGTGAGGGTGCCCTATTTTCACACCCAAATGAAGATGGGAACAACAAAAAATAGAATCAGCGTGGTTTTTCAACCAAAGAACAACAGTTGGAGCTTTGCCACCCGGAAATTCCGCATGGAACCTGGGAAATTGCCAAGCCTTTTTTTTTGGTGGCCCCAACATGCCAGCTCGATGCCCCTGAAACCTATCCTGTTGAGTCCTGTGGGGCCTGAAACACTTGTTTACAGCTACTGAAAAATACCTTGCCAACCAAGAACTACCAAAAGCTGTTCTGGGCAGGATATGATAGGATATGATGTAAAGAGAACTGATTAGACAATAAATGATAATAGATAGATATAGATAGACACATGAATTCAAATCTGAGATTCTCGAAATTCTTTGGCCCAGTAATTTAAAAAAGATCCAGGGCCAGCGATCGCATCGCCCACCGATCTCAGCTTCGGCACCAGGTTATGCGCACTCCGCGATCTGGAAGGCATCTGGCCGGCTGAGGCGATCAAAAATGATGAAATTTGGGACGAGACCTTCTCGATCCACGTGGACAACTAATGAACTAATGACACTTGGATATGAAAAGATGAACATGTCTTTGATGTATGAATCCATATGTGAATCCAAGGATTCATACCTTAGATGTTTCAATCTCAATTTGCAGATGATTTTCCTAGTTGGGGTCCCTTGATAAAACGCTTGCGCAGATGCACGGGCAATGAACTCAGCCCATTTTCTAACCCGTTTTTCCAGGTCTCCAAATAGGTTTCTACTCCAAGTCCTACCCTGATCTCTTGGAAATTGGCTTCCAGCACCTAGTGAGATCAATCCAACAAAGGGACCCGGGATCCGTTGGCCTGATTTGTTGATCACCACCTTCTTCAGGATGATTATTAAAATTGATGAATATGAATAAAATCCCAGAAATTGATTGATTGGTTCATGATATTCATGATTATTCATGAATCCACATTTAAATCAACAACAACCTTCCCATATTTAAATCCACACAACAATGCACGGCTCACATATTCACACTGGCCATGACAAAAATACGAAGTCAAGAGTCGAACGCCATCACTTGACGTATACGAACAAAGAGACGTTAATATTTTGACAGCAAAAAACACGCATGATTAAAAAACCTTATCAACATTTCAACTACATTATTAAACCCTATTGATTATTGGCAAACCCAGATAGGATTGTTTTTTTATTCTTCAAATATTCACATGATGATCAAGAACAATACAAGTATAATGATTGGTTTCTTATTAACACATATTAAAACAGCAGCTTGTGAAACATTAACATTCACCAACCTTAGTTGCCGCGTTGCACCTTGGCCTTGGACCCGAGGCGTGCCGCGGCGCGACTGTTGATGTCCCCAAAGTTCACGTTCAGCATCCACCTGAAGTCACAGGCCACGGCCTAAAGATGGGGAAAACATATGGGGAATGTTTAGAGTTCAAAAGCTGGACACAACTAACTATATGTTATATGTTATATGATTATAGTTGAACATATATCATCATATCTATATATATATATCTATATACATGTGTGTGTGTGTCTGTGTGTATGTTCTTATGTTTTGAAAAATGTGTCCCATTTACCATCTGTGGCTAAAAAAGAGATGAATTATTGACTTGATTGACGTCATATTCTATGTTCCCTAAATTTACAGCTGAGCCAAGAAATCACGGAACTTGAGACGACAAACAAGGATCAAGACCTTAGTCGTCCTGGAATAGAACACGGAAGTTTCCAAAATCCTCATTACCCTCTGGTAATTTAACATAGCTATTGAAAATTGCCATTTTATAGTTGATTTACCCATTAAAAATTGTGATTTTCCATAGTTATGTTAGTTTACCAGAGGGTAACATGGGAATATCTGTGAACATTCCATATTCTATCTACTTCAGGATGATCATATATAGATATGCTTAGATATGTATCAACAAATCTACTCACTGGACGTAGTTCAGTAGCAATAAACATTGATGAGGCTTGTCCAGTCCGTGACGCATCTAGCCGCAGCATCACCCACGGCCTAATGACTCGCAGGAAGGCGGCAAAATCTACGGCATCCTGGGTCAGATAACCTTCAACAATCATTAGGGATGCCATCGATGCCATTCAACTTGGGTGTCCCATTGAAATCTAGCCATCCAAAAGGGGCACCGTCTAAGTTGTGAAGCCCTCCCAAAACTTCTGTCAACTTAAGAAGAATCAGCGGACCGCATTTTTTGGACTGGGAAAGAAAGGAACTCGGCAAATTCCAGCAAAGCATTGAAAAATATACAGCTTGGCAGTATATTTCCAGATCCTTCCCATGAAAGGTTGGCAATGTTCCCTACATTATCTACATTTTGAGGTGGCACATGGTGCTATAAAATTCTCTCAATTTTCGCAGACCCAAACCCAACATCTTTGTCAACCTTGGTTACATTATATATTATATTATATTAGACTATATTATGTGATATTATTTTACATTAAATATTTATATTAAATCATATTATATTATATTATGCTAAATTACAATATATATATATATATGTGTGTGTGTGTGAAAGGTGTCCTAAAAACCATGGGTACTCCGAAAAAAACCATGGGTTTTCCCACTGATCATCAGATGATCATCACCAATCACTTGGATATCCGCCGTGCCGGTGCCGTGGGGTGTCCTCTTGCGCAAGTTCACCCTGATCCACCGCCGCAAAGTCTCTCACCTGGCAGCGCAGGTTGAGAGAAGTTGGATTTCATGGTGATTTATAGAGGTTTAATGGTGGTTTAATGGTGATGTTATAGAGGTTTAACCATGACTTACAGGGATTTCATGGTGATTTAATGGGGATATCTGTAAATGAGCAATACTGTTCGTAAAGCAATGCCATTTTTACCACCCATCTGGATTGATGGTGGATTCCATGTCCACAATACGAACAGGCTTGGGAGCTGGCTAGCGGCTACGTCGAAGCCATATACGCAATTTGAACCCATAAAGAAAACATAAGATGAAATGGCATCAACACCACATGAAACAGAACAAGACATATGTTGAAAACCCGTCATCATCCGAGACACTTCGGAACTCTGAAGGTTGCCAATGCTGGCTGATCAGCCAAATCATTGGGTTGGCTCTACTCCCGTCAAATGTGGCCCCAGGGATGCAGGATATAGATGCCAACAGATATCAATGCAGGATGGCTGCCATATTGGATTGAGTGGTGGTCCCCTGCTGGACAAGCTGGATATGGCTTGGTTGGGCTGACCTGCTCTGCTCTCAGTACCCCATTCCATCCACTGGTTGGACATCAATTCTCCCTGAACAAGTGGCCATCAACTCCAGAAACTCAAGGTAATTATACCTTCCTGCAATCAAACCTGGCTGGGAAATCCCCGAACTAAATAGTACTAAATGGATCTAAATGGATGTTTTGAAATAATGGGAACATTATCCAACTCCAGCTATTTGCCGGCCATGTTTTCAGCTGCCTGCCTTGTTGGTGAGTTCCAGCAGCTGTTTCTCACTAATGCGAACACCCAAGGACCGTAGCATGCCGATGACGGTGCCTACCTGGATCGCTCCACTGCACGCGCAGGTTGATGACTAGCGAAACACCCGGCTGACAACATTTGTCAAATTGAGTTAATAGGGCCCCTAACTTCCAGTCACTGCAGCGAATTCATCACAAATCATCAAATAAATCATACATCATATAGATGATCAAATCAATCATAGATATTCATAGATCATCACAAATCATCATCTGCATCATCTGCATCATCTGCTTCCGTGTCCTGTGTTGTTGTGTTGAAGTCCTGGAGTCCTGCTTCGAAATCTGTCTCTTCTTCCCTGGGCCCTCCATGCGACCAAGCTGCAGAAATGCACAAAGCCCTGCCACCGATGAACAGCGAGGCCTTGGTTTTCGACGCTACGACTGGTGGCGATTGGAAACCTATGGAGATGTTGCAGATATAGTAAGAAAATATTAAAGAAACCTATGTCACTAATTATGTAAAACACTTGATGATACCAAACAAACTCGCAAACTTCAATGTTGCCATAACTTCTAAGTCAGTCCAACATCGCTTCATGTGGGCAGGCACTGTAAATGTGCCTGCCATGCGGCGCCTGCAACCTCTGAAGCAGTCCAGTTAGATCACAGTGGATTCAAAATATGCTTGATTTAGGACCATTACACTGGCGTTTTCCAATGTTTTCCACATGGTCACGTATTTATAGGGCTTGATTGACTATGGCTGATGACATGTGACCTCTGAATTATTCGGAATGTCTTCCCTGGGACGGAAGATGCCCTGCACCAGGCACTGGCCTTGAGTTCCTGGAAGACAGCATCATTCTCGATGCCTCCAGATTCAACAATTTGGAGCCATTTAGAGCATCAGCGCCAACAAAATAAAACTGGCAATGGAACATGAGCAGCAGCAAGTCCCTCATCATTCCTTTTCTTGCGCCTTTACCGATTGGCTGGTAGGCTTACACCATGCCAAATCCAAGTCAAGAAAACAATGGAGATCTACAATTCTCAAGGGCTGTGATATGCAAGCTGCCAAATTTGTTCAAACTCACAAAGCATGAAGTGAAATCATAGTAAAGTAAACCACCTAAGCCATCGTAAAAAACACATGCAAAAATTATTTAAAAAAGTGTCTGATCTGTAAATATGTGTAAACAAATATCAAGAAACCATACGGCAGCCATCGATGCTCCCAGGTCCCCATTGGAGGCCTCGCCGAGGACGCGCCATAGCACCTGGGTTTTTCTCTCAACATGAGGCCAAGACCCAAATTGATCAGATTTATGGGTACTTGAGTACCAATGGTCTCAACCCATCAAACTTGATTACAGTACCAATTGAGTCAATTGAGTTACTTCGTTCAGGGTCAAAATGCACAAAATATCAAAATGAAGGGTTTTGATGCGTTGAATGATGTTGAATGATGTTAAATGTCCAGACTTTCGATAACTATTTGTATGGGTACACTTGGAGGCTTGAGGCACACCAGAAAACATGCCCTGTTGCCGCTGTTTGGCTTCCACATGCTGCATGCACTAGAAGTACTGCCCCGGAAATCAAGCCTCATTTGAACATGAATGAAAACCTCAGACTGGCCGTCATTGACCCACAGATCTTGACCACATTCCCCAGCTCCCCAGCTTGAGCAAATAAATCATAACACATGTTTCTCAGATTGGTGAAATTCAAAAAATCCAGAAGGGAGTTAATTAGTTAATTACCCAATTTCACGAGCCTTAATGATACCCGATCAGTGCTGGTTACATCCTTGTTGTATACCTGCTGTTGTTAGCTATATCATGTCTTCTTTAAACCAGTTGTTGGCGAACACTCTGCTGATCGCCCTTCCTTCCAATATGTTGTTCTATTTGACTGAAGTATTTTCAGGGGATATCCATGGTATTTGTCTTGTTTGAAAAAAGGTTCCAATTCTGAGTCTGGTTTGCGGTTTCAACCAATCCCAGAATATTTTTCGTGGACGAGGTTTACCACACTACTTGAAATCACCCATCTTAAACTTGAAGATTACATATCCATAATTTTCTGGATCTGTATGAATTGTAACAAATCACCGCCCTAACAAATGGTAAATTTAAGGGATGCAACCACCGCGATCAACCACCGTTCCACGCTCCACGCAGTGAGGTTGTTCTCATTGAACCACCGGGCCATCGGATGGGATCGGTGAAACATCCCATGAAAACCACCATCAACTCATCATGGGTTCCACTATGAATGGGATACCCTCTGGTGAACTAACATAGCAATGGAAAATGGCTATAGAAATAGTGGATTTTCCCATTAAGAATGGTGATTTTCCATTGCTATGTTAGTTCACCAGAGGGTATATCATGGGATATCATGGGATATAATGGGATGGATACTATATATAATATTATATAATGGGATGTCGGGATATCCATCTAATCATCTCGTGGGATTTAATGGGATTTAATGGGATTATATCATCATATAAATATAAGTCCACTTCATCCACTATTCACTATTAGTAAATGAGTCCCTATCTTTGATCAATAGATGGGCATCCTATCAATGTTTGTCCTTTTCTCAGAGATGTTTTCCACATCACCATGGTTTCGATCATCTGTCATGGGAAGCTCATTTCATAGCTCCAACTGGCTCCTCATTTTGCAGCTTCATTCACAACTGCCTCCCTTCACCACTGAAGAGCGAAAAAAAATATTTATATCCTCTGGTAAACTAACATAGCTATTGAAAATGGTCATTTATAGTGGATTTCCCCATTAAAAATGGTGATGTTCCATAGTTATGTTAGTTTACCAGAGGGTAACTCCCAATTTTGGCTCGTTCACCATGAAATCCCAATCACCATTCAACTTCCACTAAACCGCCATTTCCATTCACGGGGAACCCCCCACAAAAAGCCGCCCAGCCACTGAGGTCCGGCATGGACCTCCTGCGGCCCCCTGGAGAGGCGGCCAAGGCGGCCGCCGCCTGGTGGTTCAATGGTGATTCATTGGATTTTCTGGTGATTTAGTGGGATTTAATCTGGGTAAATTATAATATTTCACTAACCTGAATTAAGGCCATTTGGGGATGATTTTCCTAAAATAAACCATGATTCCAGTGAGGTCGAAGTGAGGTCGTTATAATTTACCCAGATTTAATGGAGATGTTATCTGTAAAATCGCAATAGTTCGTAAAACAATGTTGGTGATCATATTGTCATAGTTCTGGTGATAACGGTTTAACATATAGATGCTTACTACGGAACAAAAAAAACACGTAGTATAGATTGTCTTAAAGTCTTAAACCGATCTTTCTTTTGGAAAAACATGTAGAGATGATGGTGATAATTTTGACATATCATTGATTTGGAGTTAAATTTCCTATTTCATATGTCAATGGGAATTTCAGGATCCTAAAATGGAGGGACTGTACCATATAATATGGCCATTTCATATGCTTCAATTACCATTGCCTCACAAGGCTACGGCGTAAAACGACCCCTTTGGAAACGCACGGTCCGCTTTCCACACCTTCACGACATGCCGTGGTATTTGCAAGTGAAAACACCGTGGCCCCCAGGAGGCGGGTTTCATTTTGTTACAATTTGTTATTTCATACCCTCTGGTTATTTAACATAGCCATGGTATAGATGGACCATAGAAATAGATGGTTTACCTATTAAAAATGGGTGGATCTTTCCATGGCTATGTTAAATAACCAGAGGGTACTATTTTTTTACAAGGTATTTTGGCCTTCTGTAACATGATTTCCCGGGCATGCGAACTGTTTAGCCACATTTTTTGGCGAAACTTCGCAGGGCCCACAAGTTGCAACCGCCATTTCACGAGAGGTTCTTGCAACGTAGCGCCAAGAAGTTCTTATAATGTGGGTAAACAATGTCATAAACCAAAACCATCCCCCAGTCATCATCATAAATAGGTCGTATGGTTACCATTCCCAAATGGGTGGTTTATGACATTGTTTTACCCACATTAATCTAGCATCAACTCGGTGTGCAAGTGCAAGAGAAGTTGTTACATCGTAGCATCAAGCCGGTCCGCAAGTGCAAGCAAGAGATTGTCTTGGCAGGCAATTCAACATGAACGTCATTACGTCCCACCCCCATGTGCAACAAGACATCAACTAACTACGGAGGAAAATGTCCAAAAGCGGAGGAGTCGTCAATGGCGTCGTTGGCTAAAAAAAGAGTAAAGTGATCTGAATGGGGGTATGATGGGGATTGCTGTAGATTATCACATAAGGGAAGCGACGAAAAATATACACTCATCAATTTAGATCAATTTAGCATGGCAAACGGAACCTCTTTTTGGAGGTCCATGTGACATTTAGAGGTGGGTGCGTGTTAAAATGGGGAATGTAATTGGGGATATTATTTGGATTTTACACCCCCCCACCCCAAGGTAAGTTAACAGCAATAAATGGGATTTGCCCATCAAACATGGTGACGACTCACTGGTTTATTGCCATTGCCAGTTGCCGATCGTGTAGAGTTATATAATGTTAGATTGTGTAGTTTTCAATGGTGCATACAAACTATTGGTGATATGATACATATATAGCCAATCATTTTGGGATATATCATGGTGAAATAGTTGGCTCATACTGACTTATCTTATCCAAGTCCTTACAATGATACACCATTGGTAGGATATGGTAGGATAACTGAGTTTAGTAAATTAAGCCAGCTTTGCAACCAAACGCACCACTCCCGAGATTGAAGCCCAACAGTCACCTCTGTTGGGAATTCATATTCACCCCGTCGAGTCCAAGTGTGCATTTTCCTTTCAATTAGTGCCCCTTTGCAACCCGCCTGTGCTTCTTTCTCGGCCACTTCGGTTTTGGCTTCGATGGCCAGTTGGTTAAACACCTGGGAGCGGCTTCGGTGATTTGGCCCCCCAACAAAAACAGGTGGAACATGTACAAAATGGTGATTTCATAAGGGTTTCATGGGATTTAACCAACACATATAATATGGTGATTCAATTCGGGCTCAGGGGATTTAATCGATTAAACCAACAAATATGAAGATTTAGTGGGGATTTAATTTTTCAGCAGCAAATACAGAGAAACAGAAGAATGGGATATCCTTGCGGGTTGTTACGGTACTTATATAATGGGCCCATATTCAATCTCAAAACTCACAAGAACCCAAGTCTGTTGTTTCTGGTCTTATTGGTATAAGGAAGAGGCTTAGGATGTTCCACAAAATTGATATCTAGTTGATCCAAGTATCTGAAAATGAAGCAGTACCTTTTCCAGCCATGGCAACGGCTCGTGTAAGCTGCCCCGCAACGGGGGATGAACCCAATCATAAACTCAAATGTTCTGAAGATGTTAGTTTTGTCAAAAAAAAATCAAATGATTTAGTACACTGAGGTACGTCCATACATTGTCAACAGACATCCTCCACATCACCTTATTGAGTAGATATACAAATACCAGTTGGGCTACTATAGATGCTACCCTACAGTAAAAATAATTACATAGCTATTTGTTCAGGCTTTGCACACTGGCAGGTCCCACACATTGGGAGCCTGCTCTCACAGTTCCTGAGGTATCCTGAGGTAGCTTATATTGGAATTATGGATTATTTACCTATTAATCAGCGAAAGAACCATGGTTTACACACTGGGAGCCAGCTTTCACTATTCATGTGGTTCCATATGCTTTCCATAGTGGGACAATTGCATCTTTATGGATGAAATATGGATGAATTGACGTATTAAAACTGATGGAAAAGTCCATAGAAAACTCTCAAACTGCCAGGCAGTACATCCGTGAATCTCATTGATATCCCTATGTTTTGTTGGTTAAGTGCCATTCATTCAATCCCTGCAGTTTGTTGGGCTGGCTAAATGCCGTTACATCTCCATATTTCGGTTGATGAAATCAATCAAATCACACTCCATCACCAGGAATTTGATCATTTTTCGTGGGTGAAATCCCATTGAAACAACATTTTTCTTGGATATTCTTGGATGTTTGTTGCTGAAAAATCACCATGTCACCATTGGATGAATCAGTGGATCCCAGTGGATCCAATATGGATGCCCCACCTGTCGAAATTCCACCACCTCTGCATGGGACACCTGCGCATCCTTCATGGCCTGACGTCCCGAAAAAATGGCCTGACTCGGTGGGATAGACCGGTATTTGTCTATCTATCTATCTATCTATCTGTCCATCCATCCATCCATCCATCTGTCTATCTGTCTGTCTGTCAGTCTGTCAGTCAGTCAGTCAGTCTGTGTGTCTATCTGTTTGTCAATCTATCTATGCATGTGTCTATCTGTCTATCTACCTAGCTGTCTGCCTATCTATCTGTCTACCTGCCTGTCTGTCTATCTAAGTCTATCTGACAAAATAAGCTGTATCCGTCTATTTTCATTATCTATCATCTATCAATAAGTGGTCTTCATCCTCTCAGTGGTCTTCAATAAGGATGGATTGTTGAGGGCTCGTGCTCTCTTGCTCTCTCTCTCTCTCCCTCTCTCTCTCTCTCTCTCTTCTATCTATCTGGCTACCTGTCTATCATCTACCTATCTATTTGTCAGCCTATTTCTCTATATATAAGATGATGGGTTCACCACCACGCCATGAATATCAACGGATGGGTTCTCGGGTTCTTGGGCCATCGGTGGGTATTCCGAGCCCCTTCAAAGAAGGAAATCCAGAATGCTGAACTTAGCACAATCGAATGCATTGTCCAAACACAATGTCCTCTACTGCATTTCTACGTGTTCAATCGTGTTTATACAGCTAATCAATCTACCCATGCTGAAATAAAGGGGACATCAGATAGATGCCGTACCATTTCCAAAGGGTGATTCTGGTGTATCTCCAATTTTGCTTGGGTCTATCCCCACTGGAAGCACTACTAGTAATAAATTTAAATAAAGATGAAGGACTGTTGCAAACAAATTCAATGCACCTAGGATTGATAAATCCTGAGTCTAATAGCGTGGAGCCAACTTTAACTACTCATATAATGGCAATGAATTCATCATCAGTATGGTGGTAAACCATGGTAAACCCCCAATTGATAGTCATGAATCCAGAGGCTGCCATTCCCCAGCATCCCCACACCTTCAATTCCCGTCGCATGACCGTCATCTGGCCGTGGGATGCGATGGCTCGCAGCAAGTGCAACCTGTCTCCGAACCCCATCGCCCAAAAAAACAAAGATCATCGAGTAATTATATGTACGATACATTCCCATACATGATCATACAATTACCAGACATTACCATCCAATTACACCATCCAATTACCATCCAATTACCATAGTCTACAATTACCATAGAATTACCAGATTTACCATGGTACCCTCTTCCAAACAGCCATCGACATGGACACCCTGGGGCCCTGCGAGTCCCGGACACCACTGGAAAGGCGATGGAGGCGGAGTTGCTCCCGTCTTGGCGCGCCGCCCCCGACGCGGTGGCCGAGGCCCTGCACCGAAAAAAAGGGCCCCGTGGCCGTGGGAGTTCAGGAGATGTCGGACACTGCAGGTGGAAATTCAGGTGGAAAAAACATGGAACAAAAACGTTTCCTAAAATGGTGGTAACCCCCAAATCATCCAGCTATTAGATTGGGATTTTCCATTGTAAACCATCCAGCTATTGGGATAGCTTTAAGAAAAAACAACATCGAACTAGTTTGGATTCGACCAATCCTGGATTCGAGTGGGTTCTCAAGATTGATTTTTGTAACATATGCCGTCATAGTCATGGCCCATGGCATTTGTACACCTGTTCGAAAGATTAAAAAAAAAGCCAGATGATAATGATCAGTCCCAATATTGGTCCTTTGAAGGGCGGGAGTTTTGGGCTGCAATGATCCGCAATGGATATATGGCGCTCAAGCTCATACTATATATGGCTCCTGAGTGGTTTATCGGAAACTCTGGGCCTGTGAAATCTTAAGTATTGGCTTTCAATCAATCGATCGTATTCCAGAGTCGGGCCGGAGGCATGGCTTGAAATGGTGCGTTTCTCCTTGAATTGTTCCAACTCTCCTACTTAGACCATGGTTATTGGGGGGTGTTTAATATTGGGGCGATGGAACTCGTGTTGCTTCCACTCACATTTTCCTTCGGCAGATAAGCATGGCTTCCTCCAGCATGTGCAGAATTGCATCTCTCTCCTTGCGTTGCTAAGGTTTGGTGCTATGCTGGATTAGATATGCCTGAATATGTTGAAGCAAGGTCAGGTGGGTGTTCAGAATAGAGCAGCATCTTCACCAGAAATTTTCACCAATGTCTGTCTGTGTGCCAACCTTCATAACCCAAGGATAATTGCAGCACCCTCTGGGAATCTCAAATGAGTTCAACACCCATTTCAAATTGTATCCACATAGAAATTGCATGAAATTGTTACATCGGGATTTTCGATTGTTTTCACGTTGCCATGTCTGAGAGTGCCATGTTTCGATGGAGGCCTGGGCGGCCGGTGTGTCCCAGGCCGGTGTGTCGATGATCCCAACCGGTCGCCTGCAAGGTGTTCATAGGTACCCCCAGGGTCTGCAGCAAGCACACCAGTCCTGGTGTGCTTGGTCGCCATGGAACGAAACCCACCACCACCGTGGTTGAACATTTTTGGGGCCAACATGTGAAGATACCATGTGATTATTTCACATAGCCATGGAAAATCACCATTTTTTAATATTTTTAATAGGTAAACCATCTATTTCTATGGGCCATCTATACCATGGCTATGTTAAATAACCAAAGGGTATGTCACGTCAGGTACCTTATGATTATCTTGCGAGCCTGTGATTGATGAAGCCATGAACCAATAATTCTCACCTACATGGGGATACCATTCATACTTGGGATTCATGACAAGTTTTGGGACACTCTGATGGATATGTTTTATCCCGCCTGCTCACGTCATTATTCCAGAATTGGTTTGAGGTTTGGGGGACAATTTCCAGGAAAATCTTACATTTGGGGCAAACAACCCATGGCATCCTGTAGATTTTCCTTTAAACCAATAGACTCTCATCTTGGGTGATTAAAACCCCCACTAAATCCCATGAAGTCCCTATTAATGATGATTCAAATCCCAGTAGATCCCCATTGATAAGGACTCAACTGTGCACCCTGCATGGGATGTGGCCTCCGCGCTCGATGTTCTCAGCAGACCCTGACAACAACTGCTCCTGGCGTCAACTTCACTGCGGCAGTGTTAGATGATGTGGACAATTCGCGAGTGTCATATGATTGGGATATACTTGGGATAATACCTGATATAAGTAGATATAAGTAGGATATGCTTTGGATATTAGCCTATATCAATTTGGCGGTGTATGGGGTTTATGATTTGTGCGCGGAGCGCATGATGATACAGGCCATCATCACCAGGATGCATCAAGTTCCAAGTTTATCTCTCCCATTTTTTTGTGCGGCAGGTTTGTCTGAAAAATGATGGGTATCTGCAGCATCCCCAAAAAAATGACGCGGCTTTTTCATCATTTTCCCCGATCAAATGGCCACCCAAATATATAGGGGGTCCATCCTGGAAGAGTTTCCGCATCAAATGAATCTGGATCTCGGGGAAGTAGGCATTGCCACGTGCCACCTGCACTAAAAGAAAGCAGCACGGCAGCACCGTAAGAAACGTGGTACTGCAGAGGTGCCAACAGTCTGATGAACCCTGCTGCTATTTGCACATATATCATCATATATCATCATATATCCTCTCTCTCTCTCTCTGCAAATACGTCAATATATCTAAAGTCATAGGCTAAACGATGCTTGAAGCCTGTTCAAGTTAAGTGTTGTGACCCCTACGTGCATGCAAACTAAATCATGAGTATTATCATACACATAAATCTACATATCTGAACAGTATACTACAATATAATATAGCTTTCGTGGCACACAAATGGCGCACTCAGTCAATATCAGTAAGCATTGATCAAAGTTTGCCAACTACAGTATCAATAAAGCATAGTAAGGGAAGTTTCTGAGCTTCCATGTTACCGTCCTTCCCCTCACAAAATAGACACCCTCTTGCAACCTAATATAACGTAGCTATGGAAAATCACATCTTTTAATAGGTAAATTTTCGTAAATCAATATGAATCATCTACAAACATCCCATATTCCATTGTCATGCTAGATTCTGTTAGAATGTCAGAGGGCAAGCACAGACATGGACCTTTTTTTCTTCAAATCCTCGGCCAATCTTCGCCAGCTATGAGTGCTGTTCACGGCAGCATGTGGAAATCTCTTAGGACCCACAAGAGGTATGTCCACAACAGGGGCCACGAAGTCACCAAATGCCATCCAACTTTTGGGTCAGTTCCAGTTCTAGGTGGCTATGACTAGCCATAGTATACCATAAGTTATGGGGGTTCAATCCCAATTCGGGGTTTCTTACCTGGGTCCCCAGTCTTTGGGACACGCCCATTTCCTACATCGGACCCGTCTCTACTTGTACTTGTGCCACGGCGGCTTAACCTGGCGCAGGGCGACCGAGCCGTATGTTTTTGTACCATTGTACCATTGTTCTTGCCCAAATATGTTGTTACCACATCCGTATATTAATGAAGGAGGAAGAACATATGGAAAAAAAACGAATACGAACACCTTTCACATAATAGAGACCCTGATTTTGTTCATGATTGTATCAACTATGATGTTTGAAATAGAAATCCAACTTTAAGTCTATCCTAAAATAGTGTTTTATCTCAAGCCAACATTGCATGTAGAATTTCTTGCACTATGGATCCCTATGGTTTAAAGTTTAAAGTTTGTTTCATGCATGGATTTGTTCACCGCCCAGAATCGAACTTCTCTCCTTCTCTGTTTGTGCAGTCCAAACAGGTGGATAGCTGCTCTAATAATAAATATTCAGTACCCTCTGGTGAACTAACATAGCAATGGAAAATGGCTATAGAAATAGTGGATTTTCCCATTAAAAATGGTGATTTTCCATTGCTATGTTAGTTCACCAGAGGGTAAAACACATGATCAATAATCATAAGAGGATCCATATCAGCAACTGCCGAAGAGTTGCTGAACAAGCGTGTGTACATGCCACAACTCCCATCCAGCTTGAGTTTGACAATGGAATGAAGATCCAGTTTGTTCACAAAGATCTCTCCAAAGAACCTTCCATGATAGGCTTTCACTGAGATAACTATCAGTACCCTGGTAATATGGGTTGCTAAACAACCACCCCAGTTCAGTCTGATGAGTTTCCCCATTTAAACATGTCCAATTCAGTGATTTGGGATTTCCCAACCCATGTTTGACACCGGAGGGTGGAACAATGAAAACGACCAAAGCCAGTCCCGCCCTGCGGTTCCCACCCGGTCCTTTGGTGCATCTCGACACTTGCTTCGAAGGTGTCCAACTTTTCCGCAGTAGGTGCAGGGGATCTGGTTGAAAGGGCAGTCCACCTGAGGAAAGGACGGAGGCCTGGCTATGGAAGCCATGGTTTGCCATGGTTTGGTTCGGTTTCGTTCCATATAATGTGGGTAAAACAATAATCATAAATTAATAAACCATCCCCCAGTCATCACCATAAATATATATATAGATAGTTATGGTTTATTGTATTCATTGGTTTTCATATTAATAGGTGGTATGGTTACCATTCCCAGTCATGGCTGGTTTATTGTATATTGTTTTACCCACATTAATAACCATCAGTTGGAATATAACCTCGTTAATAACCATCAGTTGGCATAAACCCCATTAATAACCATTAATAACCCTATTGATGGTAAGGTGGTATTAACCATCATTAATCCATCATTAACCATCATTAATTCATCTTTATCCATTCATAACCCTATTAAATAGAGGTGGTATAAATACCAAAAAAAACACATACACCTTGCATTGTTCGTTTTTGTGGTGACGTTCCGTTAAGTTGTGGTCTCCAGTGGCTTTCTGATGGCCGAACTCGCCGCAGCAGTAACATTCCTCAGTAGCGGATGGGTCTCGATATCGATATGAAAACCATGGATTTGCTGAAAACCATGGAAAACCCCATATTGGCTGGGAAAAACACCATGGTTTCCTGTAGATTTTTCCGTATAAGCCATTGATTAAAAAAGGAAATCCCACTCACATGCAATAGCTCAGTATCTGATGATAGCTCAAATCAAAACCTGGCATGTCGGAAGCTATTCACTTACCTGCATGAATGCCAGTAATTGAGCCAGTAATTGCATGGCATCAAAGTCTCCAAAAAGATCTAAGAGAGACCTCTTTAACCCTAAATCTTCTATCCGAGGTAGTTTTGAGATATGGGAGTCGGAGTAGCTACAGCCAGATTTGGACCCAGAAGAATCGTAAAGGTGGAGTAAGTTCCAAGGAACGAATTATATGTTTTAATGCCTTCAAATTGGCCATGCTCTTCCACCCTTTACGAAGAAGCCATTCATCGGGCCGACCCGATTCCGGTGACTCCATGGCCAGCGTCCATCTCTTTGTTTCTGCACTTGGCTTCCAGATGCCCTTCTCTCCTCAGTGTAGCTATTAAACATGGTGATTTCCCATAGCTATTTCAATCACCAGAGGGCAAAAGAATCTGGACCGTTTTGAACATGAATGAGAGTAATTACCATCTGGTTATTTAACAGAGCCATGGAAAATCACCATGCTATTAATAGGTAAACCATCTATTTCTCTGGGCCATCTATCCCACGGCTATGTTAAATAGCCAGAGGGTAACCAAAATCACGCTGCACACTGGTCCAACCATCTCCAAATGGAACCTTGCCCCTAAGCCCTACAGGGTTGCCACCTCCAGTATTTGTTTGGTTTATAAACCCACATAAACCCCATTAACTATAAGATCTATAAGTTTAAGATAGTTTAAGTATCATAAACCATGGGTTTTGGAGTTTTTTTTCACCAACTTAGCTAATTAATTATCATTTGGGGGCCCACTGTGTAGCATTTTAATACCCCCAACCAATAACGCTGGGATCAACAGGCCGCCCGGTTGAATAACTAGGCCGCTACCATCCGTTACATTCCGTTAGCCTCTAGTTACCTATATAATTGGTGGTATACCTACCCCCCCGAAAAATATGAAAGTCAGATTGAATCATCATTCCAACTATTGGGGAAAATAAAAATGTTCCAAACCACCAACCAGTTATTAAACATGTGAATTGAAATCATGTAGAACATGGGTTTATAGCTGCGAAAATCATCGAACGAAACGTGTAATTTGCCGTTGCCATATGACCATGAGTGATTACCAGAAGGTAATCCCGCAAAAGTGAGCTGGACCTTTCTGACCCCGAAATTTGAAGCCCCAAACATGTCCAATGGCCCAAAGAAATTGGTCAGAATTTCCAAATTTTCATAGCAAACAGCAAATTATCCGTCTGGCGGCATGTTGCGACAGTTTCTCTGGCAATTTAACATAGCTATTGAAAATACCCCATTTATAATAGTTGATTTACCTATTCAAAATGGTGATTTTCTATATATAGCAAACTGTTAATTTACCAGGTAGTTTCTCTGGTATTTCTAACCACCGCCGAGTATCCCACAGAGCGAGCAGACATGCCCTCGCAGGGGGCAATGCTGCTTGAGATGGCCGCTCTCACCGCAGCAGTAGCAGTCCATCCCCTGAAAAAAAAGGGCCGAGATGGGCCGAATCATGTGATGTCAATGGGGAAGTCCATAAATTCCAAAGAGATCAGCTTGTTTCCCATACATGCTGAATTTTCGGGTAGATCCGTATGCCCCAGTTTCGGTGACACCCACCATAAATATCATCAAATATCATCTCAAATATCATCAAATATCATGAATTCTGCGGCTTTCTGGCAGGTTTCCCTACCTTTTCCCAAAATCTCCCGCCTGCACCGGTGCTGCCTCTTGGGCCTGGGGCTGGCTCTGTGGCTTCATCTCCGGGGACTTGGGCTGTTGGCTCCCCTTGGACAGTCCAGGCTTCTCCTGAGGCGAATGTGTTGATATGTGTTGCCTTGCATGAAGGAAAACATCTGCTGTTTGTTTGGATGTTTTTATCATGGATTATAATGGATTATATACTTTTTGGGCCTTCTGGCCTTCATGAGCGAACTAATCTCCGGGGGATCTCTAGCTGTGGCGGGAGCCTTGGTATCGGTGGCGTCCTGGGACCTGGGTTCCATATTGATCCTTGCTGGTCAAATGTGCTTGGTTGAATGCCTAAGACCTATCATCGTTGAGTTACATGAAGTTACATGCCAACAACGGAAAGTCTCATCTCCATAGCTTTTGTGGGATTTATTTCTACCTTGAAAGAAGCCAGACATCATCTCCCTCCTCCGTTGATAACAACCCATTCACCATCATTCACCTCCCCCTTCAATCAAGGGCTAAAAATACCGAAAAAACTTGGCACCAAATATTTTCATATCCTCAATTGCAGTCAGGTCTCGGTGCTGGGTACTTCCTGGGTGTCACACATATTCTCCATGTGGCCCTGCATGCCGCAGAGCTCGCATGTCATGTCGATCAACGGACAGAGCTCAGTGTCGTGGTCCGGGTTGCCGCAGCAGGAGCAATGCTCCGGGCCCTCCTCGAAGGGCTCTGAACCTGGCGCTTACCCAGGTCAATGTATGAAAATCAGGTGGGAAAACCATGGTTTTCCGTTCAGACCATGATCTACACATGATGGGTTTTCCACATCTATGTTGGTTTACAGAGGGTTAATTCGGGGAAATTGAAGCCTTTGTTTGGGGCACCTTGAAGCCTATGCGGGGGTACTTCTTAGTTTGGACTCAAGTACCCTATTTGGAACTTGTTGATGATCATTTCAAGGCTGGGCTATGGCCCCATACCATACATGGCTTGATCCGTTTTGATCTTTGATAACTAAATATTCCATATAATCCTCTGCCTGTGGCAATGCATTGTGTAATCTATTAGTCAACCATTGACTACACCAGCGATATAGAATACCATAAGAAAAATTACTTTACTTCGTGTGATCCCCACCATGACATTTATACATTTTCTTACTGGCAAATCTTCTGGCATTCTATCTGACATATCTTCTGACATTCTATTTGACATTCTATCTGGCATATCTTCTGGCATATGATCTGGCATATCTTCTGGCATATCTTCTGGCATTCTATCTGGCAAATCTTCTGGCATTCTATCTGGCATATCTTCTGGCACTCTATCTGACATATCTTCTGGCATTCTATCTGGCATATCTTCTGGCATATATTCTGACATATCTTCTGGCATTCTATCTGACATATCTTCTGGCATATATTCTGACATATCTTCTGGCATATCTTCTGGCATATCTTCTGGCATATCTTCTGACATATCTATCTGGCATATCTTCTGGCATATTTTCTGGCATTCTATCTGGCAAATCTTCTGGCATTCTATCTGGCATTCTATCTGGCATATCTTCTGGCATATTATCTGGCATTCTATCTGGCATATCTTCTGGGCATATCTTCTGGCATTCATCTCATTCTTTCTAACTTTCTTCTGCACATTCTTTGTCCCATATCTTCCTACATGAGGTCCGGCAGGGACACTGGGCGCGGATGGTCGCGGTTGAGGTCCGGCAGGGAACACTGGGCGAGGATGGTCGTGGTTGAGGTCCGGCAGGGAACACTGGGCGTGGATGGTCGTGGTTGAGGTCCGGCAGGGAACACTGGGCGTGGATGGTCGTGGTTGAGGTCCGGCAGAGAACACTGTGGATCGCGGGTCGCAGTTGAGCAAGGACGACGAGGACGACGAGGACGACGAGGAGGACGAGGAGGACGAGGAGGACGAGGAGGAGAGGAGGAGGAGGAGCAGGAGGAGGAGGAGCAGGAGGAGGAGGAGGAGGCAACTGACATAAAATCTAACAACCCTCACCTGGCAGGTGGGGAAAAACATATTTAATTAAGCAAGACTTTGAGCATGTTTAACAGGCCAAGGAGTGGTGCTTGAGATGCGAATCCCTGACACCGACACCCATTTTGTATCAAACGAGGAGCGAAGTTTTTAAGAGATCCAGTGGTCAGTTTATCACTGGGCTCTGTCGGCTGGTCTATCTTGTCTCATCGGTGATTTCAAGCCATCAAAACGATCAATCACTTGGGATTGGGATCCTTATCCCAGATTCGATGATGTGAAATAACTATATGAAACTACCAGTGACAACATGGCCAATCTTAGATACCCTCTGCCAAAAAAACAACACTTAGATGTGTGTGTGTGTGTGGATCGAGCTCTTCCAGGTGCTCATTGGGATTTGAGCTTTGCCGCAAGGCTTTGACCCTTTGATGTGAACCAACAAATTGGTTTGGAAACGCTCCTGTTACTTACAGGTATGTTTAGAGACCTCAAGACTGCCCCTAGGGTACACATATAGATGTGGAAAAGCCTCCCTTTGTAGCTTATTTTCCTGGGGAAACCATGGTTTTCCACATCGAACTGTTAGTTTACCCTACATGATTCATCCAAACAATGATCTAACATGGTCCAGATTCAGGGGTTTGTGGGCCTTACATGCTGGCCACACCAGTTTCTCTTACATGCAGGTGCTGGGACTCGGACCTTTCTTCGTATAAATTACCGCAAATTGCGGGCTTGATGTGAGGTAATGTTCATATGTTCAATGCTTTCCCCAACCTCAACCATCATTCAGTTACTTTGTGCTTGGCGGGCCGCTTTACATCATCTCCAACTCTAACTTAACCAGCCACCAGTCAAAAAGCTCTGCCTTTGCGCTTCTGAAAAAAGGGTACGGCGCAGGCGGCACGTACTTGCTACAGTAGCTTTGTTCAGTGGGGGATGCCGCTCAATCAACAAAGCACTGACCACAGAATCCAACCAGAATCCAGATCTTCGCGGATATCCAAGCATTCTTACCATGAACCAACCACTAACCCACCACAATGCAGCTGTAAACTGTAAGAAAACAGTTGGCAGACTCGTTGGGAATATGAGATGAAACATGATGACACCTCCATTCACCCCCGAAAATCGCCACCGGACCCATGTCTTCGTGAAGATCTTCCACATCTTCGTATTCCTCTGCATCCTCGGGCTCCAAGTCGTCATCTCCTGCGCGCCCCTGGCGGTGTTCCATGTTTGGCATTTAAGGGCCATGAATGGCACAACAACAAATAGAACTGATAGGAACAGTACAGATAAATCCTATAGGAAAAAAACTACTGTAGACATCTGTAGGCTATATCCAGGTATAATATAACAGTACCCGGCTAAATGACTCTTCTAGCTGTGTCTGGGGTTACCAACGCTGATCATATAAACCATTTCAGACGGCCATGAGCTTCGGACCCATCTTCACTGGAAAATCCCCCAAACTGGCCATGGGGGATCCCCAAAGATGTGTAAAATCCATGTAAATCTCTCCGTAAAAAACCATATTTTCTTGAGGCTGTTGAATGTGAACGCGGATGGGATTTGCACATTCTTAGTTTCTGTTTACTCGCATTCTTCACCAAAGATTTCTCATAAAACCCCGAACTCCGTGAAGACAATGTGGTCAACAGTTGAAACCTTTCAAAAATGTGGATTTAAGCAGCAAAATCCGTAGTTGAACCAGCAAAAATGATCTCAAATTGGATATGGCTCAACATTTTGCCCGTTCCTCAAAAATCACAGGCGTTGGAACCCCCCTTTCTCGTCCTTGGGCATCCTGCGGCTCCGGTTGCTCCTGCGGAGCCGGTTGCTCCTGTGGATCCTGTTGATCCTGTTGGCACTTCTGCTTCAAATGTCCTGGGCATAGGCCCAGCTATCAACGATATCTTGGATATCAAGAAAAACAAGACTAAGAATACTAAGAACTATGGGGATTTGGAACATTGGAAGATCCAAACCATTCCAAACCCTTCAAAAGATATAGCACTTCTGTTTAAATGCTGGATTTCAAATATCGAACAGGTTTATTAAACAGATCATTGGCCTCCGCAAACCCAGGAACTCATCTAACGGGAAGACCACCAGAAAGACGAATTCCCTAAGACATGTGGATGTATGTGGATCACTCGTACGGCTAACAGAGCTTCATACCCTCAAATCAATAACCACACGATCAAGTCATACCAAAGGTGACCCCCAAATAATAAGCGCAATACATCGGCATTCATTAAGGGTTTATGAACCACCACCATCACTAATAAGGGCTTGAACTAACATCTATCCATGGGAGGGGGGGTGTTGAAGCCCCACTACTATGTTCCTGATATCCATCCATCCATCCATCCATCCATGAATCTAACCCAATGTAATCCAATCTGTTCTACTCTGATCTGATCTACTCCAAATTCATCATCTATCTATTATCGACCTAATCTATCCAACCAATCTACTCTATCTACATAAGCTAGCGATCTATCGAACCATCCATCCATCCGTCCGTCCATCCATCCATCAAGCTATATATATATATATAATAGCTCTCTCTCTCGCTCTCTAAACAATGCTATATTATAGAAGAACTAAAAACTTATTAACGTATGCCAACCAAAATGGCCTAACACTAACGTCTCATCATGGTATCTGTGGGGGTTCCCAGGTTTGACCCCTTCCAAACTTCGCAAAGATCTCCGCCCAGCCTTTCATGCCACACTTGTCGCATCGTTGCTTTGCCTAGGCCCATGATCCACCAGAGGAAGAAGCCTCTTTTAGACCTAGGTTTTAGATAATTTTATATAGATGGTTTTAGCTGGTTTTAGATGGTTTTAGCTAGGGGAGTGACCCAAGGTTGCTGTAGATCGTCGTATTTGGTTCCCTTTGAACAGGACTGTGTTGGCGATCAGCAGGCATCTCAACAGGAGGCTGCTGCTGGAACAAATCAATACAAATCAGTGGCATTCAGTGGCCCACAGTGTAGTATAGCATGAACGCCCCAGGTGGCATGCACCGAAATCATCCTTAATGATTGTGAAAAGCATGGTTTGCAAATTTGCACATGTTTGCACCGAAACCCCATGGCACAAACCAACCCAAAGCACAATGAACAGCGAAGCTCCTAGCAGTTTGGGACAGCACTCCAGCAATAGCCCGCTAAGATTCACCACCCTTTCCACCAATTCCCTGACAAAATGCGAATGGACAATCCATCTTCTCATGGGACCAGGAGCCGCAGCAGTCACATTCGATTTTTTTTCTCTTTGTTCCTTTGCCCTTCGTCGTCGTTCTGCCCTTCGTGATCTTGCTGGCTGTCGGCCGCATGGTCATCTTCCACGTTTTTCCTGAGAAATCCAGCAGCTACCAGGATTTAGGTCTATAGAAAGCACAGCGGCAATGAATATAATGAAACAATGTGAATAAAAACAACAAAATGGTCACTGTTTCAGCACGGAACCCAAAAGTTTGGATCTTGTATGGTCTTGCCAGCCGTGACTAGTGCCAAATGCTGAACATGTATGACTTGATCCTTCAGCCATGCTGGAAAAAGAATATGTACAGCCTCAGCCGGGTATTTGACACTTCTATAGCCCTGAAAATCCATGCCGCGTCAAAATACGTGAAACCTCCATGGTCATCCACGATTTACTTCATGATCTTGTAGAACTCCTTTCTTAGTTCTAAAACAATGACTGTCTCAATCGACCTTTGGGGAAATCCTGGGGCCCTCATGTCTCCATAAATACCCCAGTTTTGTTAATTGCTGATGATTGCTGACCATTTGATATCCAAGTCTATTTCCCCATGCCAATGTAAGATAAGTCCAGCTGTGGAGTGTCTGATCCTCAGTTGCGCTCGTTTGATCCAACATTTGCGCTGCTTGGAATGCCCCAATCTTGTTGGGTACCTCCAGTTTTGACATGTTGAAACTGCAATTTCGGTCGCCATTCCTAGGCTCAATATTCACATGAAATCATTGGCTGGATCCATATGCTTGCCGCTTAAATCTATTTTTGTTGGGTAAAATCATCTTCACTCCATGCTTGGCCTAAAATTCCCTATCATCGGTTTTTCCAGTTTGACTCTTAAATTGCAGAGAAACGTCACTTGGTTTTTGCCGCTAAAATCAGCGCACCAGTTCGCATTTAGGCCAAGCCTCCCTGGAATTTGGACTTCGTGGACTTCCAGTCGCTCTTCCAGTTGCTCTTGTTCCACTCCTGCTTTTCCTCATGTTCCATGTGGGATCATTGGGGCCGGATCATCCTCCCAAATCAGATACCCCCTGGTAAACTTACAAAAAACTATTGAAAATGGCCATAGAAATAGTGGATTTTCCCACTAAACATGGTTATTTTCCATAGTTATGTTAGTTTACCAGAGGGATCCAGAGGGTAAAAACTGGCCAGGTTGAGTGACCACTGGCTGACCAGGAAATGGATGAACAACAACTACAACATGCCACATCTCTACGGATCTGTGGTTCCAAAGCGGGGATAAGTCTTTGAAAGATCCCAAGGTCGTTGGTTGGTTTGCACACGCATTCAAGCCAAAAGGACGGAAAGGACTTTAACCCCTCAAATGGGCCAAAATCTTCTGGAATCTTCCGGGTGCCCGGCATCGTGCCAAACAATTGGAACCATGACAAGGGATGTAAACAAACATACATGACTGCACAGTATCTTACAATGTGGGGCCCCCAAGATAGCTAAGTTGGTTTATAACTCCAATAACTATGGTTAACGGTACTTATAACTATAGTTATGGGGGTTCATAAACCAACTTATAACTTGGGGGCCCCACATTGTACGCATTTTCCTGGCCCTAGCCCAGCTCAGGTTTTGGTTTTCGGGTTGGAACACTCACACCAATCACTGCAAGCGCATGTCTACGCGTGTATACTTGCTTAGATAGATAGATAGATATATATATTTTATATATATATATATATCAATATCTCATGATACATCTTTGAGTTTATGCACTTGTGGATTTAGATAATTAATGTTCAAAGGAAGTTTAGGGGGAGAAACTTCCGTGTTACGGACTTTTAGAATGTCAGGGAAAGAGTTAGTCAAAGAAAGAGTTAGTGAGAGAAAGAGTTAGTTAGAGAAAGAGTTCATCAGGGAAAGAGTTAGTCAAAGAAAGAGTTAGTGAGAGAAAGAGTTTAGTGAGAGAAAGAGTTCATCAGGGAAAGAGTTAGTCAAAGAAAGAGTTAGTGAGAGAAAGAGTTCATCAGGGAAAGAGTTAGTCAAAGAAAGAGTTAGTGAGAGAAAGAGTTAGAGAGAAAGAGTTCATCAGGGAAAGAGTTAGTCAAAGAAAGAGTTAGTCAAAGAAAGAGTTAGTGAGAGAAAGAGTTCATCAGGGAAAGAGTTAGTCAAAGAAAGAGTTAGTGAGAGAAAGAGTTAGTGAGAGAAAGAGTTCATCAGGGAAAGAGTTAGTCAAAGAAAGAGTTAGTGAGAGAAAGAGTTAGTGAGAGAAAGAGTTAGTTAGAGAAGAGAAAGAGTTCATCAGGGAAAGAGTTAGTGAGAGAAAGAGTTAGTCAAAGAAAGAGTTAGTGAGAGAAAGAGTTAGTTAGAGAAAGAGTTCATCAGGGAAAGAGTTAGTCAAAGAAAGAGTTAGTGAGAGAAAGAGTTCATCAGGGAAAGAGTTAGTCAAAGAAAGAGTTAGTCAAAGAAAGAGTTAGTGAGAGAAAGAGTTAGTTAGAGAAAGAGTTCATCAGGGAAAGAGTTAGTCAAAGAAAGAGTTAGTGAGAGAAAAAGTTAGTGAGAGAAAGAGTTAGTTAGAGAAAGAGTTCATCAGGGAAAGAGTTAGTCAAAGAAGGAGTTAGTGAGAGAAAGAGTTCATCAGGGAAAGAGTTAGTCAAAGAAAGAGTTAGTGAGGGAAAGAGTTAGTTAGGGAAAGAGTATTGTAACTTTTAGACTGTCAGGGAAAGAGCTAGTCAAATGAAGAGTTAGTGAGGGAAAGAGTTAGTTAGGGACAGAGTTAATTGTAACTTTTAGAATGTCAGGGAAAGAGTTAGTCAAAGAAAGAGTTAGAATGGCATTGCAAGTGGTGCTGGTGGAGGAGTTGCCGATGGAGTTTTGGAGGAAGTCTCGCACGAAATGCGTTTTTGAGAGATAGCAGATGCACGAACCCCTATGTTTTTCCATACAAAGTGCGTCCCCGAACCTCGATGATCTACCTCTGCGGTGCGACGGGTGCGAGACGGTCTCGTGTGTGGTCGGATCATGGTCGGATCGGTCTCGGATCGGTTCCGCATTGTAAATGGGGTTTCAACTGTGTTTCGTCTATGTGCGGTCGACAGAATTCCATTGTGATTTGCAACTGTAGGATCGTTCCCGCAATGTAAATGGGATTGCAAGTGGCGCTGGTGGATGAGTTGCCGATGGAATTCCATTGTGATTTGCAACTCTAGGATCGTTCCCTCACATTAAATGGGATTGCAAGTGGTGCTGGTGGAGGAGTTGCCGATGGAGTTTTGGAGGAAGTCTCGCACGAAATGCGTTTTTGAGAGATAGCAGATGCACGAAACCCTATGTTTTTCCATACAAAGTGTGTCCCCGAACCTCGATGATCTACCTCTGCGGTGCGACGGGTGCGAGACGGTCTCGTGTGTGGTCGGATCATGGTCGGATCATGGTCGGATCATGGTCGGATCGGTCTCGGATCGGTTCCGCATTGTAAATGGGGTTTCAACTGTTTTTCGTGCATGTGTGGTCGACAGAATTCCATTGTGATTTGCAACTGTAGGATCGTTCCCGCATTGTAAATGGGGTTGCAAGTGGTGCTGGTGGATGAGTTGCAGATGGAATTCCATTGTGATTTGCAACTGTAGGATCGTTCTCGCAATGCAAATGGCATTGCAAGTGGTGCTGGTGGAGGAGTTGCCGATGGAATTACATTGTGCTTTGCAACTGTAGGATCGTTCCCGCATTGTAAATGGGATGCAAGTGGTGCTGGTGGATGAGTTGCTGATGGAATTGCATTGTGATTTGCAACTCTAGGATCGTTCCCTCACTGTAAATGGCATTGCAAGTGGTGCTGGTGGAGGAGTTGCCGATGGAGTTTGGAAGGAAGTCTCGCACGAAATGCGTTTTTGAGAGATAGCAGATGCACGAAACCCTATGTTTTTCCATACAAAGTCCGTCCCCGAACCTCGATGATCTACCTTTGCGGTGCGACGGTTGCGAGACGGTCTCGTGTGTGGTCGGATCATGCTCGGATCATGGGCGGATCATGCTCGGATCGGTTCCGCATTGTAAATGGGGTGTCAACAGTTTTTCGTGCATGTGCGGTCGACAGAATTCCATTGTGATTTGCAACTGTAGGATCGTTCCCGCATTGTAAATGGGGTTGCAAGTGGTGCTGGTGGATGAGTTTCTGATGGAATTCCATTGTGATTTGCAACTCTAGGATCGTTCCCTCACTGCAAATGGGATTGCAAGTGGTGCTGGTGGATGAGTTGCCGATAGAATTCCATTGTGATTTGCAAGTCTAGGATCGTTCCCTCCCTGTAAATGGTTGCGTCAAGGTTCCTTCGTGCTGTGGCTGCATTGGTAATACTATTGTCTTTTGCAGCTGGACTTCGTAAATCGTATTGGAGTGGCTGCATGAAGGCTGCCACAGTGATTTGTTGGCAGATTTTCTTCATTTTGGCGCTAGTGATTTTCCTTCTAAAAATTCTTTTAAAAAGTGCTTCAAAATCGTCTTTTTTTCGCTCTGGCGTCGAGATCCGGTTTTGGAGCTACAATTTCCGACGCCGTTGTGCGTAGTTCTATTGTGTTTTGCAACTCAGTCTCTGCAGATCGCATTGTAATGGCTGCGTCAAGGTTGCTGTGTGCTGTGGCTGCATTCGTAATACTATTGTCTTTTGCAGCTGGACTTCGTAAATCGTATTGGAGTGGCTGCATGAAGGCTGCGACAGTGATTTGTCAGCAGATTTTCTCCATTTTGGCGCTAGTAATTTTCCTTTTAAAAATCCTTTTAAAAGTGCTTCAAAATCGTCTTTTTTTCGCTCTGGCGTCGAGATCCGGTTTTGGAGCTGCAATTTCCGACCCAGTTGCGCGTAGTTCTATTGTGTTTTGCAACTCAGTCTCTGCAGATCGCATTGTAATTGCTGCGTCAAGGTTGCTTCTTGCCACGGCTGCATGCGTAATACTATTGTCTTTTGCAGCTGGACTTCGTAAATCGTATTGGAGTGGCTGCATGAAGGCTGCGACATTGATTTGTCAGCAGATTTTCTCCATTTTGGCGCCAGTGAGTTTCTTTTTAAAAATTCTTTTTAAAAATTCTTTTAAAAAGTGCTTCAAAATCGTCTTTTTTTTCGCTCTGGCGTCGAGATCCGGTTTTGGAGCTACAATTTCCGACGCCGTTGTGCGTAGTTCTATTGTGTTTTGCAACTCTGTCTCTGCAGATCGCATTGTAATGGCTGCGTCAAGGTTGCTTGGTGCCGCGGCTGCATGCGCAATACTATTGTCTTTTGCAACTGGACTTCGTAAATCGTATTGGAGTAGGTGCATCAAGGGTTCGACAGTGATTAGTAGTAGTGCTGGGAATTGATTAATGAAAGCTTAATAGATGACATATGAGAAGGGACGAAATGAGAAGAGATGAGCTGGGATAAGGTGAGAAGAGCTCAGATGAGATGAACTGTGGAGTGTGAAGAGTGTAGTGTGAAATGTGGGGCGTGAAGAGTGCAGTGTGAAGTGTGAAGTGTGAAGTTTGGAGTGTGAAGGAAGCAGTGAGAAGTGAGAAGTGTGAAGTGTGGACTGTGAAGTGTGGAGTGTGAAGTTTGGAGTGCAAAGGGTGCAGTGTGAAGTGTGGAGTGTGAAGAGTGCAGTGTGAAGTGTGCAGTGTGAAGGAAGCAGTGGGAAGTGAGAAGTGTGAAGTGTGGAGTGTGAAATTTAAGTTTGGAGTGCGAAGAGTGAGTGTGAAGTGTGAAGTGTGAGGTTTGGAGTGTGAAGGCAGCAGTGAGAAGTGAGAAGTGTGAAGTGTGGACTGTGAAGTGTGGAGTGTGAAGTGCGAAGTGAGAAGTGTGAAGTTTGGAGTGTGAAGGAAGCAGTGAGAAGTGTGAAGTGCGAAGTGAGAAGTGTGAAGCTTGGAGTGTGAAGTTTGGAGTGGGAAGGAAGCAGTGAGAAGTGAGAAGTGTGAAGTGTGGACTGTGAAGTGTGGAGTGTGAAGTGCGAAGTGAGAAGTGTGAAGTTTGGAGTGTGAAGGAAGCAGTGAGAAGTGAGAAGTGTGAAGTGAGAAGTGTGAAGTGTGGACTGTGCAGTGTGGAGTGCGAAGAGCGCAGTGTGAAGTGTGAAGTGTGAGGTTTGGAGTGGGAAGGAAGCAGTGAGAAGTGAGAAGTGTGAAGTGTGGACTGTGAAGTGTGGAGTGTGAAGTGCGAAGTGAGAAGTGTGAAGTTTGGAGTGTGAAGGAAGCAGTGAGAAGTGTGAAGTTTGGAGTGTGAAGGAAGCAGTGAGAAGTGTGAAGTGTGGACTGTGAAGTGTGAAGTGCGAAGTGAGAAGTGTGAAGTGTGAAGTTTGGAGTGTGAAGGCAGCAGTGAGAAGTGAGAAGTGTGAAGTGTGGACTGTGAAGTGTGGAGTGTGAAGTGCGAAGTGAGAAGTGTGAAGTTTGGAGTGTGAAGGAAGCAGTGAGAAGTGTGAAGTGTGAAGTGTGAAGTGCGAAGTGAGAAGTGAGAAGTGTGGACTGTGAAGTGTGAAGTGTGAAGTGTGGACTGTGAAGTGTGAAGTGTGAAGTGTGGACTGTGAAGTGTGAAGTGTGCAGTGTGAAGTGTGAAGTGTGAGGTTTGGAGTGTGAAGGGAGCAGTGAGAAGTGAGAAGTGTGGAGTGTGAAGTGTGGAGTGTGAAGTTTGAAGTTTGGAGTGCGAAGAGTGCAGTGTGCAGTGTGAGGGGTGGAGTGTCGAGGGAAGGACACGGTCGGGACAGGGTGTCTTTGAACTATAGGTCATTTATGTTTGGGAAACTTCCGCCGCCGGCTTGCCCGGGTCTATGTAAGATATGTGATAAACCTAAAATCATAAACCATCCCCCAGTGATCACCATTCTAATGGTTTGTTGTATAATGTTGTATAACCCCCCCATCATGGTAGGTTGGCAGCCAGGGATGCCCACATCCCCCGACCCCGGAGGCCTCCTTTGCCTTGGCCTCCTTGGCCTCCTTGGCCTTCTTGGCCTTCGCGCCGCACATGAACTCGTAGTGGTTTTCGTGGCTACAGAGCTCGCATCTGTGCCCGAAGGCCGGACACAAGCGCTTCCTGGGATCCAAGGGAGGAATGGTTTGGGATGGTCAACCCAATAAATATGGTAAAGCCATATGTGTAATATGATAGTAATATGGTTTAAACCTAATAAATACCTGCGATTGGGGATTGTTTTGGGCAAACAAATGAATGGTTTGTCATGTTGGCTTTACCATATTAACTAGGGGTTGAACTTGGGTCCCCCAGCAATGGTGCCAGTGATATAGCATTCGGAAAAATCAAAGTCGTAGTATTGGCTCCTCAACCAAGCGTTGAGGTCCAAGGTTGGTGGGTAGAGGCAGAATGTTCAGGAAGTTGGTCAGGACCGTATCTCTGCTTCTCAGCATCTTTTTCCCATGTCATCTACAGGTACACACACATACATACATACATACATATACATACATATGTGTGCGTATTGTATTCCCACATATATCTACCTGTCTGTCTGTCCCTAAATATATGATAATACGTATGTATAATTACTATGTATATATATATATATTAATAAATATATAATTAATTATACAAAAAACGTATAATGTATCATCCAAAATTTCAATCGATTATTACTTATATAGCGTACCAGTCAAAACATGCTTTCATGTTCTTCTCCAAAACACTCTTCGAAAAGGTAAGTTTTGCAAGCCCAGGGACCTTCATCTGGAAATTCAACACATCTCTGTCCATTTACAGATGTGACAAATATGAACAACCGATCCACGATGCTTCCATTCACCAGTCGATTTACCAAACATTGTCACAACCACTCGCTGTTTACAAGCAAAACCATGGGAAATCCACAAATGATCACTGCTACCACCATGAGAAATCAAATATCATGCATATAGCATTGGAATATCGAACGACGTCCTCCAATTGTGAATTTGTGACTTTCAAAAATGGCATCAGAAAATCCATGAAATCCATGAAAATCAAGTTTACAACAGTATAATACAGTATCTGATAGTATATGCATATAAACCAGGCATACACATTTGGCGAGGATTTCTCAGCCATGGCAAGCTTCATGTGCCACTTGTCACCACCGCATCGGGTGCAGCCTTTGGAAGTGTCCTGATGCAGTGGGCGACCACTAAAGATAGGGAGACCTCACATGATGGATACATATGGTTTGGTGTAGGTTAACAAGATGGCTCTATTTACGATTAAAATTGAGAGACCTGAAGATATTGTATGGACATATAGTTTGATATAGGTTGACATAGGTTGATATAGATGTAGGTTGATACATTTTTTGGGTTTTGTAGGCCTTAAGTCTTAAACATGTAGGAACATAAGATATGATATATGGAAAGAACTCATGAAAGGTCTATTGTACATTACATATTTCAAGCTAAAATAAACAAATGTCACAATATATGTATATATATAAATACATATATATATATGTATCTGTATATATGCGTACAAAAATCACATGGTGAATAGATGGGGAAATATAGGCAATCTAAATGGGGAGTACTGGATAATACATCTTAATGCATGCTTGATATATGGAAACCCCGTGGTCAATATAGTTAATGTGTGGAAATCGTTCATCCTATCGGCAATAATGAAAGATATAAGCAACATATTTTGGAAATCATGGTTCGGTGGATGTGGCTGTAAAACGTATGATATACGGCAACCGTGAAACGGTCTGGTTTTCAATACCCTGTGGGAATGGTAAAGTTTGTTAAGCTGGGAGGCTGGGAGTGGTTGCTGGTTCGGCTTGCAGCATTAGCACATTGATCCAACAGAAGAATCACGTGTAGAAATCGAATCCCAAAAGAACCATTGACGATACCCTCTGGTAAACTAACAGTTTGCGATGGAAAATCACCACTTTTAATGGGAACATCCACTATTTCTATGGCCATGTTCAATAGCTATGTTAAATTACCAGAGGGTATATATGTTGAAACCACACATAAGCGGATCGAATCTACCACCGCAATGAGGTATTGAGGTAAATATTTATGCATAGACCAACAAAAACACAAACACAAACAGGGGACCAATGAACAGGGAAACACAGGGAACCACCAAACTACCTTCGTACAACAATTCATACTTGGGATTTCGCAGAGAATCCACCCGTAGTATATTCAAGATTATTATGTCATCAATCATGGCATCAGCGAGTCTATCCAAAATTATCCAAGTATATAAGTATATATATATAATATATATATATATAACAAAAAAACATGGCATCAATCAGCCCATCTATTCACCAAGTATCTGTGTCATCTTTCTTCCACCACTTCTCAGTCTTGGTTGTCTTCACTGGGCCCTTGGAGGTGCAGACATTCTGCAAGTGTCCCCTCTTGCCACAGATGGAGCACCTGCCGGAAAAACCACGGAATCCACGGGATTCGGCTCGAGATAGGGATTGATAGGGGTACCCCCACATCATCCTTTTATAGATGCTGGTTGGTGGTTTCAACCTACCATTGGTTGGTAATATACTGTTAATAATGGTTAATATGGTTATGATGATGGTTAATGATGGTTAATAATAAACAATATTCTGGTTGGTGGTTGAGCCTACCCCTCTGAAAAATATGAGTTCGTCAAGGGGAAGGATGACCTCCCATATATGAAATGGAAAATACAAAATGTTTGAAACCACCAACCAGGATGGAATTTTCCTTTATACGGTAAACCATCCATTCTGGGGGTACACATTTATGGAAATCCCCAAATGGATTGATTCCAAGGGATTTCCTTTCCGGGAACAAGATTAACTCTCCTAACTTTCACTTATAGCCTAGGTCGATTAGACCAATTCTCGGGTTCGGCAAAAGATATCGGGAGAGTTCAAACATTCTCATGCCAGATTTCAAAACCAAACTTCGGACACCCAAAACACATGGGATGCTCTGTATAGGAACTTAGCGATACAGCGTTCTTAAGCAGTTCATCTGTCGCTTTCAGGTCTTGAAATGATTGAGCACCATGCGTTTTTTATGGTCATATAATGGATCATATCCCAATCTGAATGACAAAATCAACAAATGACCGACCGTAACTGATAATCATAACATATAAATATAATCATATATATATATAAAGAACCGCTCTTTCAATGCCTAAATTTCCTGTCTGTTGTTGGCTATCCTTACCCATTCAAGTCTACTCTGGTGGACTCCATCTTCCCCACGGGGAGGATCCCGTGACTGCTTAGGAACTCGGCCCGGGTATATGTATAGAATCATGAAGTAGATACAATATGGCATTTCAAAGGTATTCCCATGTTAATAATGTGTTTTCGAAATTTCCACAATCAAAGTACTCCAGGATGACTATATACATATATACATACATACATACATACATTACATACATTACATACATTACATACATTACATACATTACATACATTACATACATTACATACATACCATACATACCATACATACATACATACATACATACATATATACATACATACATACATACATACATACATACATTTATATGTAATTACATGGAACTCAAAGTAGATGGCTCAACTCAAAAACCAAAATACCCATAAGATGGCACCGCGCGCTGAGAAAGAAAACGGCGCTATTTTAGCTGGAACATAGAACGAGTTCCGCCAATTGAAGAAAAAATCGCCCTACTATAAAATGAGAAGGTAGATGGCGCAACTGCCACTCCAGTATATGGACATAAGGGTATTGTTAACTAAGCTTACTACATTTCCGATCATTTTTGCTTGTTTGTACTGTAGATTACACATGTCTGTATTGTAAATATATTATTTACACATATATATATATAATTCCCCTAGATTTTTTATCCTAAAAATGAGTTGCGCCATCTATGTCCCTTAAATCCCATTCAAACGCCAGAAAAAAATCGGTGGGTTAAAACATGAGTTGCGCCATCTATGTCCCTTAAATCGCATTCATTTTTAAAAATTTCATTGCCATACCTTGAAAATGAACCACTGAATGTTTTAAAACTGATTGTGGGCAGAATTTATGGATAGAAATCTCATTTTTCAACATATTTTGACAAATTATTTTAAAAACATGCAGTAAAAATTCATTGCAATACCTTGAAAAATGATCCACTGAATGTTCTAACATTGGTTGTGGGCAGAATTTTGGATAGAAATATTTTTTAACAAATATCAGATTATTCAGCACATATGCACAATTTTAACATTTCAATATGTTGCAAAAGCAGCTTTTGTGGTTTACAAACTATAAACGTGACATTTTTCATTTTGCTCTTTCTTTCTGTTCCCTCCTTTCTTACTTCCCGTTGTGTCTCCCCATTGTGTCTCCCCGTTGTGTCTCCCCGGGGCGGTGATCCCAATGCAACGAGTCGGGGTGAGCGTTTTGCACAAAGGAAAGCAAGCAGCATTTTCACCGGGGCAAAACCACCAGGAAAGACATCAGAGCTATCCCAAGACAGGAGGCAGTTGCGCCATCTATGTCCCTAAAAATGGTGTATTTTTTGCAATCTTCTGGCAATTTGCCACTTTGCTTGGCCCCGGAAAACGGGCCCCACCAAGTCCCCCGAAAAAGAGCTTTTTCCTGAGTTTCCCAAAGGAAACTTGACACTTGGTGGGGTCCGTTTTCTGGGGCGAACCCAAGTGGAAAATTGGCACTGTGGTGGTTTCCCCCCATTTTGTTTCTAAACATCAAGCTGCCTTTTTGGGACATAGATGGCGCAACTCCCAACTCATTCGCCAAAATCAAGCTATCCATCATATCCATCAACCAACCTAACCAAAATATGCCACATCGATCAGAGTTATCCCAAGACAGAAGGCAAAACCACCGGGAAAGACATCAGAGTAGTCCCAGGACAGGAGGCAAAACCACCAGGAAAGACATCAGAGTTGTCCTTTTTGGGACATAGATGGCGCAACTGCCTCCTGTCTTGGGATAACTCTGATGTCTTTCCTGGTGGTTTTGCCTCCTGTCTTGGGACTACTCTGATGTCTTTCCTGGTGGTTTTGCCTTCTGTCTTGGGATAACTCTGATCGATGTGGCATATTTTGGTTAGGTTGGTTGATGGATGTCGGGAGATATGAGGGAGTTGCGCCATCTATGTGGGCATTCCCAGCCTGATTTTGGCGAATGAGTGGGAGTTGCGCCATCTATGTCCCTAAAAATGATGTATTTTTTGCAATCTTCTACGCTCTGGCAATTTGCCACTTTGCTTGGCCCCGGAAAACGGACCCCACCAAGTCCCCCGAAAAAGAGCTTTTTCCTGAGTTTCCCAAAAGGAAACTTGACACTTGGTGGGGTCCGTTTTCTGGGGCGAACCCAAGTGGAAAATTGGCACTGCGCTGGTTTTCCCCCATTTTGTTTCTCAACATCAAGCTGCCTTTTTGGGACATAGATGGCGCAACTCCCACTCATTCGCCAAAATCAGGCTATCCATCAACCAACCTGACCAAAATATGCCACATCGATCAGAGTTATCCCAAGACAGAAGGCAGAACCACCAGGAAAGACATCAGAGTAGTCCCAAGACAGGAGGCAAAACCACCAGGAAAGACATCAGAGTTGTCCTGGGACATAGATGGCGCAACTGCCTCCTGTCTTGGGATAACTCGGATGTCTTTCCTGGTGGTTTTGCCTCCTGTCTTGGGATAACTCTGATCGATGTGGCATATTTTGGTTAGGTTGGTTGATGGATGTCGGGAGATATGAGGGAGTTGCGCCATCTATGTGGGCATTTCAAGCCTGATTTTGGCGAATGGGTGGGAGTTGCGCCATCTATGTCCCTAAAAATGGTGTATTTTTTGCAATCTTCTACGCTCTGGCAATTTGCCACTTTGCTTGGCCCCGGAAAACGGGCCCCACCAAGTCCCCCGAAAAAGAGCTTTTTCCTGAGTTTCCCAAAGGAAACTTGACACTTGGTGGGGTCCGTTTTCCGGGGCGAACCCAAGTGGAAAATTGGCACTGCGCTGGTTTCCCCCCATTTTGTTTCTCAACATCAAGCTGCCTTTTTGGGACATAGATGGCGCAACTCCCAACTCATTCGCCAAAATCAAGCTATCCATCAACCAACCTAACCAAAATATGCCACATCGATCAGAGTTATCCCAAGACAGAAGGCAAAACCACCGGGAAAGACATCAGAGTAGTCCCAAGACAGGAGGCAAAACCACCAGGAAAGACATCAGAGTTGTCCTTTTTGGGACATAGATGGCGCAACTGCCTCCTGTCTTGGGATAACTCTGATGTCTTTCCTGGTGGTTTTGCCTCCTGTCTTGGGATAACTCTGATCGATGTGGCATATTTTGGTTAGGTTGGTTGATGGATGTCCGGAAATATGGAGTTGCGCCATCTATGTGGGCATTCCAGCCTGATTTTGGCGAATGAGTGGGAGTTGCGCCATCTATGTCCCAAAAAGGCAGCTTGATGTTGAGAAAAAAATATGGGGGGAAACCAGCGCAGAAGATTGCAAAAAATATGTCATTTTTAGGGACGTAGATGGCTCAACTGACCTGTTTTAAAGGGAGTTGAGCCATCTATCGCCCATTTTTTTTGACATAGATGGCGCAACTCAAGATTCTGAGCTATCTACTTTGAGGTACGAGTAGGTCAATAATCGCAAAACAATGGCATGATGATGCCAATGAAAAGGAACATGAAGACGCTGCAATGCACCATCTCTATATTACACATACATGCATATACAGAACCAAAACCTTAATTGCATATGTATTACAGACATATTCTTTGCCAATGCCCGTCCATAACTTCTATCTCTTTTTGGGTGGCTATTCTGCAGTTGGAAACCACCAACTCCAGAGCTTCAGCCGAGGGGCCGTTTAGTGATGTTCCAGCAGATCTCTTTGGAGTGGCCGGGGATACCACAAATCTCGGCCGCAGAGGACATGGAATGACTTCATTATCTGGGTATGGCTATGGGTTATATATGTACATACCATATTTTGGATTATATATGGGTTAGAAATTATACATGGGTTATAAACAGGATATATGATAAACATGGATTATAATACATCGTTATCATTCTATATTATATGGTAAAAGTTATATGTGGTTGCAATTATATGGGTTATATACATATATATGAATTATATATGGTTATGTGATATATGGGATTCATATGGGACATAGAGCTTTTTTCCGCCATTTACATTAGTGACATCCTTAAATTCAGGGCATGGGTGCAGTTCAATGGATGACCCGGCCGGTGGTTTCAACCAGCCTAGTGGAGTGGAAACATGGCCTGCACACAGATGATTTCCCTATTCAAAGAAAGAAATGTAGTAGACCTAATAATAAACCTACCATTTGGAGATGTTAGTTACCACCTGGTTTTAATATGTTCTCTGGTCATATTAGGGATGGTTTATCATTGGTTTTACCACATCAGACAGATCATTGTCTCATTGCCAGGTGGAATTGCAAGGGCAGTCCCAGCAAGGGTGGCCCGCAGCACCACCCGATCTCCAGCAAAATTTGGAGAGAATTCCAGCTGCATGTGAAACCACTTGGGATTGAATTCCAGACCACTTCGCATATGCATCTGTGTATATATATATATTTATATAATCACATATATATATATATATATGTAATGTATATATATATATATATAGCTAGTGCCCGGAAGAATTTGCAGATCCAACTTCTTAATTCAGACTTTTGATCTTTTTGTGTCTGACTGGGCTACCCCGGATACTATCCATGGCCATGGCCATGGCGGCCATTCGGTGAACTAAACCATACTACTGGTGGGTTCAAATAGGCAATTCTTGGGCATTTCTATCTATACCCTCCGATTACTTAGCATAGCCATGGAAAATGGCCCATAGCAATAGATGGTTTACCTATTAATAGCATGGTGATTTTCCATGGCTATGATAAATAACCAGATGGTAGCCATGAAAATCTATAGGTATAATAGACAGTTCTATCAAATAGACCATGAACATCTATAGATATAATAGACCATAGATATAATAGACCATAGATTATCCTATATGTATGGTTATCCTATAGTTATGAAAATCTATACATAGATAAAAACCAAATTTGATGGTTATCCTCAAATCTATAATAACCATCAAATTTGGGGATGCATACAATGTGCTTTGTACTTGTCTAGCTCCAAAGTACCCCTTCTTAGGGGATACATGTCCCGTTTGGGAATAACCATCAAACAATCATGTTACATTGCAAGGTAACCCCCTGGTTCAATGGTTCAATCAACCAAGCGTATGTTATTAAAATCGCCATCAATTCTCCATAAGATATCATCTGGTTGGTGGTTCAACCCCTCTGAAAAATATTAGTCAATGGGAAGGATTGTCCCATATATGATGGAAAATAAAAAATGTTCCAAACCACCAACCAGTCATAAAATCACTATCAAATCACTATAAAATCGCCACAAGTCACTAAAAAATCACTATGAAATATATAGTTTTCCCATTGACATAGAAGTTAAACATAGTTAAACATAGTTAAGCATAGTTAAACCAGCTATAAAAATCAGCTTTTTGCACCTTTCTAATCACGATCTTTCCATCCAAGCCGCTGGGCACATCACCTTACTGGAGCATTGAGAAGCATCGTGCCCTCGACCTCCACCTTATTTGCGTGCTTACGGCTCGAGGCGTCCAAAAAAAAGTCTCCCAAATTTCTAAAAGGTGTCCAGTTGGCATAAAAATTAATATCACAATTTAAATTTAATATATCCATTTAATATCACAAATTTGATGAAATTTGGAAGTTGATGTGATTTTTTCATGGGATTGTCATATTGAATTATTGAATCCTAATGGGATTTGCAAAGGATGCTAATGGGATTTAATATGATTTAATTATATTTAATTATAATGGCATGTTACTTGGATTAGATTTGGGATTTCAAAGCATTTTTACATAATGAGATTTCAATGGGACTCCAATGGGGTTCAGTGGTAAATAGGGCTTCAACCAACAAACATGGGGATATGGGAATTCGCCTCGTAAACTAATGGCTATGGTCCATGGGGAGTGTCCATCATTTGTATGATGGTTTACTGGAGAGTCTATCGTGGAAAAAATGATGCTATCAACAAGAAATGGTAATATTAGAAGCCAGACGCAAGAAAAAAACTGGTAATTCAACTTGGACATCAGCCACGTAGCAAACAAAATGCGAGTTCAACTCAGTTCAACTATATAACGATTCTGGCAAGTGAAATTGCATTTCCCGAATCGGACGTGTGGGCAATGGAGTAATCTCTGACAAACATGGTATTACTGTCCAAAAATCATCGTAAGGATATAAACAAAAAAATAATGTAGATGTAATAAAATAATCAAGCAATTTGTGGGGGACCCTAGTGAAAAGACCACGTGAAGGATCATCGTCCAAAAAACGGGCGGAACATACAACATATTTGAACCATATGATCAATTGTTTTATCCGGATCGCACACCAAAAAGGAGAAATTACAATGGTGATCTGGGACCCCCATCAGTGATGATCACTCCAAAATCACAGTCCGTGGCCCATGAAAAAGAAGGTGGTGTCCATTTGTTAAACATCATTCATGGCGTTGCGGTGAAGGCGGCACGGAAGCTCCCAAATGGTCTCTACGGTGAAACACGCAGCAACAACGCAGGTGAAAAAAGGTGAAGCAACTTCAAATACAGAACAAAGCCGGGCAATCAAGGCAAAAGAGAAAAATATGAAAAAATGGTATGTTAACGGACATTATGAATTCAAAACAGCGCCGTCGCTTTGGGTATTCCTATCATTCCATAATACTGCTGACCATCCGAACTATGGCCAAACGCAATGAAACAATATGCCAAGCAATCGAGGCATGGACAATGGAAGGTGGAATGGGGAGAAACATAGCACAGCATCAAACAGGGAATCTCACGTCTCACCTTCCGGCTGATGTCGGGGGGTTTCCTATCATAGAGGTACCCCTACATCATCCATTTTTGGGAATCCCCAATTTATCGAAACCTCCACCACCCCTCGCCACAAATTATGTGCAAGGGACAGTTGGAGCAGGTTCGCTTGTATTCTGGCTCATAGGGCTCACTCTTGTGCTTCTCCCAACTACGGTCCGCCTCAAGAATGCTGCTGACTAGCTGCTGGTTCAAGCTCAAAACAAATGATGCGCGTACTTTCAGAAAACAAGGCCTGGATTTCAAAGTCTGTTTTCCATGCTGCTGCATCAAGTGATAAGAAGCGATTTGTGTTGTTCGATGTTGGCCTTAAATATCTTACGTTGAACGTTGATTTAGCTCTTATCAACATCCATCAACAAGAATCATTCACAACATCCACTAGCCACTAGCAACTGGCGGGGAAAAGCTCGCGCCTTGCCATATGAGGCTCCCCAGGTTTTCCCATAGCCCATGGCGCGCACGGCTGCGCGTCGCCGCGCAGCTCGAGCCACGAACTGGAACAGCGGAAAGTACAGTGGTAAACCCAACAATAACCATCGTCAAAATCACCAGAAATGAATGGCATAATACAGCATAAACCGTCCGCAAATGATAGGTTTATTATTGGGTTGCCGGGTTGCCCACTTAAAAAACAAGCACCCCATCTGTAACTGCAGCTGTTGCTGATGGAAATCTCGTTCATCCCAAACATATTGCCGCCATTTTTTTGTGCCACAAACCAAGGTTGCTCCCAACACCCCAGATATCCCCAGATAAAGTACAAGAGGGAACACCGGGTAGATAAAGAAACAAAGGCACACATGTTTCCATTTTTGGAATACCATTTACCTAGAAATCCGATTGTACTCTCACTCTTATCCCCGGTGATATTCAAATTAAATCCAATTATATATATATATTTCCAGTGTCAGACCAGACCCGCATTAAATCCTCATGAAACCACCATTAAACCACCATAGACTCACCCAAATTAATCATAATCAGCATAAACTGCAATAGTATGGTAAACATTGGTAAACAAAATAGTCACCCATCCCCAAGTCATCACCATTTTTATGGGTCGTATAGACCATCCCCAATCATTGTGCTATCCCCGGCCTTGGCCAAGTGCCGCCTGCATTGTCCCGTCACCGCCCGCAGCATCGTGAAGTCAAACTCCTTCCGACGTTCAGGGGCAACGGCCCAAAAGCCAGTAAATCAGGGATTGGTAGATGTCCCTTTTTGGGGATTTTGAACATCAACTTCAAGTTATTTGTTTGAGATTATGATTATATCATATCCCTAACAGTTGGGTGATGTTTAATTAGGACATTTACCGACCCCTGGAGTAAACTCAAGACGTTGGTTGCTCGAAATCAAGATGTGCTGCATATTGCAACATATGCGTGTGAGTGCATATCGACGTTTTTCATCTGATCGTATTATAGGCTTGCAGGCATAGATCATGGCCATCATGGCCATCATGGACATCTGTGGCTCTGTCTGGTGGCCAGAGAAATGTAAAAGCTATATGTACATTTATTTAAGTATGTACATGAATGCACCTGTCAACGTCATTCAACGTCTATCATTGTTTGGGATTTAAAACATCCTCGCACCCCACTTCCCCCGTCATGACTACCACGGTACCACGGATGGTCGTTTCTCCCCGCTGCGCCTCAGTGTCTTGCATGCCATCTGCCATCAGAGTTTCATGGAAGATCTCCTCTCCAGGGAAATATCCCAACCTCGCCACAGCCAGATCCCTGGTGCGAGCCCAGAGATGGAAAAAAAGATCTGGAACATCCCAAGAATCATTCATGAATTTAAAAACAACATGTTGGTGTGAACCTTTCCAAGGGAGTGCCTTAAAGCTTTGGGGAAGGGGATCATGTGGCATGTATGTATGTATAATAATAGATATGTGGGCCCCTTTGTAGTATAAAACAACTGTTTTAACATATTTAAATGTCACACAACCACACCAATGCAAATCTAAATCTCCAAAATCCCAAAACAAAATAAAGAAATATACATCAAAAAAAGTGCATAAATAACCATCATATGAGCATATGCGCTGCGTACATCAAAGCATAAGAAAAACATATAACATGAGAAAAAACATATCACCCCAAACGTAGCGCCTCTGTTTGCACCCCGGTCATGGAAAAAAATATGGAGCGGCAGGTCTCCCCCGAACTCATTAAAAGGCCCAGTTGGGTCAATAGATTTTCATCTGGCTACCACTTAGCCGTAGCCCGTGTTCTTTGCTGCTTAACAGCCCGCATCTCTGTTGCTTCAATCCGAATGTTTGCTGGTTGACTCATGGTAACTCCTCAGTTATTAATCTGGTAAAGCCAATAATAAGCCATGCCCAATGGTAGGTTTATGGCAGCCAGGGTTTCCCATAGTTGACTTCCCATCCATTCATCTTGCCATCGCTGAGGCCGGGACGATTGAAGAAGGTCCGACACCTGCTCTTGAGTACCTGCAGTGGTGGAAAAAGTCAGCCAAGGACACTCCAGTTTTTCTCTATTCCGAGGTTTCCTAAAATGAGGGTACCCCCACATCATTCAAACTTAGACCTTTTTAGTATTGAAACCTATGGTTTTGGGGATCCTCCATTTCAAGAAACCGTCCGTGCACCTTGGGATAATTTATGATGTCGGGCGCTTCTATGTTTATTCAGCTTATTCTATCTACCAATTAAGCTGCTTAAGCTTTGAAATATGTGTCCAAAAACAAGGGCACGGCGCCTCGTACCAGCACTCGTGCACCAGTCACTTAAGTTCTATCCCGTTGACCGGATGCATTGAAGGAAAGCCTACGGGAAACACTTGTTTTCAGCCTTGAATACAGAGGTTCACTGCAAATTGTTCTCATCGAACTCTGGGATTAAAGCGATGGGCAGAGTGTGCCCCGGGGGGTTCGAACTGTTCGATTCGAGTTCGAACTGCCATCCTAGGTGTTCCTCGAGGGGATGGGGGGGGGTTCGAGTTCGAGTTCGAGTTCGAGGGTTCGAGTTAACCCGGGGGGGTTCGAACTGTTCGACACCAGTTTGAACTGGCATCGTACGTCTGCTTCGGAGGGATGGGGAGGGGGAGGAGTTCGAGTTCGAGTTCTAGGTCGGGAGATTTTTTTTTTTTTGGCGGGGGGGGCGCGGAGGTCGAGTTTGCGTTCGAGTTCGATTGCGAGGGTTCGAACTGTCATCGTGCGAGGGCCCCGGAGGGGATTGGGGGATATATATGTATATAGACTAGTATTACCTCTAAGATCAAAATAGTCTAAAAATAGTCCTAGGATGTCCTAGGAGTAATTTAGTCAAAAATAAGGATTTAGTCTTTAGTCGCTGGAGTAAATTTACTCCTTTTAGGAGTAAATTGGAAGACTAAATTTACTCCTAGGACTAAATTTACTCCCCGGACTAAATCGATATTTACTCCTTTTTGTAATGCAAACTGCATTATGAACAATGCAAACTGCATTATGAGCAATGCAAACTGCATTATGAGCAATGCAAACTGCATTATGAGCAATGCAAACTGCATTATGAGCAATGCAAACTGCATTATGGGCAATGCACTTTGCATTGCTTTGCCTAAATTTACTCCCGGAAGTTGAGCCTTGATTTACGTAATTTTTTGGGTAGTAATTTACTCCCCCGGGAGTAAATTAGTCGGGGAGTATTTTTAGACTATTTTGATCTTACAGGTATATGTAAGGAGTACGATCGGCAATGCTGAAACAGCACCGTGACGTGAAGTAAATAGTGCACATGTCATTGCTATTCTCTATTCTCCAATGTTGTCCGTACTATGAGTCTTCGAAGTCGTCGAACTCCCGCTCTGGCGAAAAAGTGCGTGTGACACTGATGGCTGCACATGTTCAATCTACGCTTGGTGTGGTCATCGCATACCCTTCTGGAAGGAGAGGCCAAGTCAGGGTGGGGGTTTTCATGCGTAGGCAGACGTGTCGCTGAGAAGCCATGTTGGTAATACAAGTACTCGGACCAAATGTTGGCCTGAGAACACGACATGGGTATGTTGGCTTGAGAGCACAAACATTCTCGATTTGTCGGGGCTAAGTTTGCCGAAGGTCATTGATTTCCTGGGGGTTGATGGCTTGACATGGTGTGCAGCCAGTTGCCGTCTAAATTTGGTCATTGTCTCGCAAAACAAGCAGCATCCAACCATACAGCTTGGATGTTTTTTTTCGTTCTGCTCGGAGCGATGATATGCAAACTATACGAAGCGTCGTTGCTTGGCGAAATCAAACTTAGTTGCCTTAGATTGGACATGATTTCAAGATCCCTCAGTACTTTAACGTGGGGTCTGGGCCTAGAAAAAAATCGGTCTAAAATGATGACCCCTAACCTTTGAGAGAGGTTTTGGAGCTTTAAATTCCTGGCCCCTAACCTCTGAAGCCGAACTCTCACTTCCAACCACCTTTTTGAATTTGTTTTGCTAATTTCCTGGTGCCCAACGTCCAACATCCAATAAATTTACCCCTCTGATAGCCAAGTAAGAAAATTATTTCCTGGATGCTTGCGTTGGTAACATGCCATATCTCCCCCCCTCAATCTGATACGGAAAAAAAGTAATTCCTGGCACCTAACTTCCCGGCTGACAGCTCGCAGTCTTTCAGAGCTTGACCGTGAATGCATACTCGGAAAGGTTTTTTTTTTCTCTCCGGGGGGGGGGTCGAGTTCGAGTTCGAGTTCGAGTTCGACGCGGCCGCCGCCAGGTCAAAATCGAGTTCGAACTGCTCTGGGGCGAGTTCGAAGGCGAGTTCGAACTGGGTCACCGCCAGTTCGAACTCGAGTTCGAGCATGTGGACCGCGAGTCCGGACTCAGAAAGCTTGTTTTTTTTTCCCGGGGGGGGGGGTGCGAGTTCGAGTTCGAGTTCGAGTTCGACGCGGACGCCGCCAGGTCAAAATCGAGTTCGAACTGCTCTGGGGCGAGTTCGAACGCGAGTTCGAACTGTGTCACCGCCAGTTCGAACTCGAGTTCGAGCATGTGGACCGCGAGTCCGGACTCAGAAAGCTTCGAGTTCGAGTTCGACGCGGACGCCGCCAGGTCAAAATCGAGTTCGAACTGCTCTGGGGCGAGTTCGAACGCGAGTTCGAACTGTGTCACCGCCAGTTCGAACTCGAGTTCGAGCATGTGGGCCGCGAGTCCGGACTCAGAAAGCTTTGTTTTTTTTTCCGAACTCTCACTTCCAACCACCTTTTTGAATTTGTTTTGCTAATTTCCTGGTGCCCAACGTCCAACATCCAATAAATTTACCCCTCTGATAGCCAAGTAAGAAAATTATTTTCTGGATGCTTGCGTTGGTAACATGCCATATCTCCCCCCCTCAATCTGATACGGAAAAAAATTAATTCCTGGCACCTGACTTCCCGGCTGACAGCTCGCAGTCTTTCAGAGCTTGACCGTGAATGCATACTCGGAAAGGTTTTTTTTTCTCTCCGGGG